CTTTGAGCTTAATGCTAATGTCATCAAGCTAACATGCTGATGTTAAGCAGGTGTGATGGTTCACTATCCTAGTGTATCCTAATGTATTTGCATGCTAACATTTGCTAATTAGCACAATGTCAGGATTGTTATTATTATTATTATTTCAGGTATTTGGTCATGAACTGAAATATTGGACAAATTGAAATTGTGACATGATGTTGATGCTAAATGAAAAGACAATGGATATCTGGCAACCATGCATGTCTGTACCAGATCTTAATGGCAATAATTCAATATTTGTTCAGGTATATTTGGACGAGAAGCAGATGTCCCTTTGCTAGAGCTCCAGTGCTAACACTGCTGAAATAATTCAAATGTTACAATAAGAAACTGCCAACAGATAGCAAGGAATGAAACCTTCACAAAAAAACCCTAAGCACTGGTCTTTAGAGTTGGTCTTTAATAAACTGCTGTATTTTCCAGGGACTGACTGCCTACCATGACATTGCTCTGGACAAGTGTTACGTTATTGAGCTCAACACCACCATCGTGATGCCTCCACGCAACCTTTGGGAGCTTCTAATTAATGTGAAGGTAACATTTTCTCTTGAATTCTTAAAAATAAATGGCTTTACTTTTAGTCTTCACATTTGACTTTACCAATGTTTCAGTTAAACGTAACCAAAAAACCCACAAAAGCAAACACTAAACTCTGGTCTCAGGAGAGAAGACAGTGAAATGTTAGTGGCTACTAAGTTACAATAGCTTCCTTCATTTTGGACTCTCTGTTTCCTCAAAGGTCAGCACTGTCAAGTTATTGTGTGCAGACAGCCAATGTCTGTTTTTAGGCTGTTCAGCCCTTTAGTGTTTCCGTTGGTAAACAAAGCCCTGTGAGCTTCTTGTTGTTGTACCTCTGCCTCTTGCAGAAGGGAACATACTTGCCTCAGACCTACATCATCCATGAAGAGATGGTGGTGACTGGCAAAGTGCACAACATGCGTCAGCTGGGACCCTTCATCTACCGCCTGTGTAATGGAAAGGACACGTACCGCCTGAACCGCCGTGTCACCCGCAGACGTAAGTTGGGGTTAATAGAGGGATCAGTGGAAACATTGGAAAAAGAAACAAATGGGGAGGAAAATGTTTGGTCTTTGTTTTTATTTGAGTTTTATTGTTTTAAACTCTGGTGATGAGACCACCACAGCACGCACCGAACAAAGTTTACATCACAGATCGCCCTCTCTGTGTCTCCTCCTATTTCCCTCTCAGGCATCAACAAGCGCGAGGCGAAGGACTGCCACCATATCCGTCACTTTGAGAATACATTTGTGGTGGAGACGGTTATCTGCGACGAAGCGTGAACACAACGGCCATCCGTGTCACCCCACCCACCCAAAGGCACATCTCCCTACCCCAGCCACTGTAGCATCCTCCTGTGGACCTGATCATGTCTGAGTTGCACTTCACGTGTGATTTTGGTTTGATGTCCTTTGTAAAAGACGTTCTTTTTATTTCACAACCTGTCTGTTTTTCTATTTCCTATGTGTGATGCAATACAAGCTGTTGGTTCTATCACAGGATTTTCCTTGTAGCAATGTCCTTTAGCCAATAATGAATTATAATTTAAAGACCTCTCCTCTTCCTCTGGGGATTTGTATGATGGTTACTGTCGTTGGGGGAGGTGACTGTCTCCATGTGTTGTCAAGGTCACTGTAGTTTTGTTTCTTCTCCTGCCCTGGGGGTTACTTTGTGTCTCCTAGTTCTACTAACAGGCATCTGTGCAAAGCATGAAGCCTTGCTTTCCAGAGCAAACATTATCCATAGATTGAAATTATTATGTTGTTTTCTCATGTTCTCTGTAATGTAAACATATAACTGCTAATGACTAGTTGCTTGCTTGCGTCTTTATCTTCTTGCCTGACTGTTGCTTCATTGCTCCCCTTTCTACTTTTTATTTCCTTCCTAAAAAGCATAGTCACAGTAGAAGTTAGAGAAAGTCGCACTGGGCGTTAGACTGCATTCACTTTTTTGTGCAATACTCCATCGTAATTGTAACAATTTTTGATGCTCCAATTTGTCATCAGCTTTTCTCTTTTATTGCCTTAGGGGGTTTTTTTTGTTGCACTTTTTGCTCTTCATCAATGCCTTTGTGAATCCTTTTTGAAATGTCTTTGTTTCCCCTTGCATGTGTAATCTATAAGAGAAAAGCAGCACTGTTAGAATGTTTTGTAAAACAACGTTTAAAGCCTTAGTTCAGAGTCAGAGACTGGACTAAAGTCAATACTACTGAAAGGGAGCATATTAATATGGTATATTAGTTAAACAAAACCAATTTTGATCTGTATATTTTGTCTGCTGATGAAATCTGTCTGTGAATAAAGTAGTCAAAATGAAAATGTAGATGCTTTTATTTTTAGACCCTCAAACCGAGGACAAAATTACCCATTACGCTGCAGCCGGGACTCATTAATAGTTGTAATCTTCACAGAACATACTGATCCAATTTCAGTTCTTTATATTAATTTTATCAATTTATTTATTATTTGGTAGCAGCAAACCAAGTTGCCATAATTTTTTTTTTTTTTTTTTTTTTTTTACCAGATGTGAGATTATTAAAGCAGCAATGAGGAACTTTCATTATGTGTGGATTATGGCGGCCCCTGTGGACAAAAGTGGTAGTGTTTCCAGCACCTCATTTTATTGATTTCAAGGGAATCCAACTGAATCTGACCCAGTGGCAGGCTAAGAATAACTAGACAGAAACAGCCAATATACTTGCTGATGGTCTCCTGTGCTTATGTGCTAAGGTTTATAAAGACATAAGGATTCCTATATGCAGACGATTATACACTAGTGAAAACATAGTTATGCAGATGATATTCCATTTCTGCCAACAGATCCTCCTAAATGTCGCACACTGAACTTTTAATTGTTATTTAAATAAGCAGTTTTAAGTCACGAAAATAAGTTTTATATGATAAATATTTGGAGTATTTCACAAAATCAACTTTAGAAAACATAAGCATAAACAACTTTTTCAATTTGACAAAACCTCAAGATCCATAAAGCAGGGGCAGACTGGGACAATAATTCAGGCTGAGAATTTGATACCATCCCAGGCCACCACCACCCGATTAATGCAAAACACCAAGAGTGAGTTAGGTTGGGCGCCTACTGATGTAAGAGTGTAAAATAATAAAGCAAAGGCTTCACATGCGCCCACACACAGCTTGTTCTGTTTTTCCCCCTACAAAATAAATGTTTCTGTTGTGCTGCAATAACCTGTACTCAAATCACATAATTTCTATTCTATTTAATTTACTACTACACTTTTAATGTGCAGGCTGCACATTTAACAGTGTAGTAGTAGATTAAATAAAACAGGTTACACCATCATCCACCTAAACGTGAGACCAATCCTATTTTTAATGTTACAGGTACCAGACTAGTTATAAATTTGACTACTGTGTCAACCATAGTATCATACCACAAGTGAGAGGTACACAGGTTTTGCACTGCAGATGTGTAGGTTTATTCTCTGTTACATTAAACAAGGAAACGCACAGAGAAAGAAATTTGCAATGTCTTTTGTTACAACTTAAAACATTTGTTTTATTAAGTTTTAGCCCCATCAGCTTCCACAAAGTGGAACTAACCTCTTGAGATGCAGTTGAAGGCTCTAGAAAGGTGGACCTTTCATTAAAGGTGCACTAAGTGAAATCTGCATTTTGCCTAACTTGAGGAGTGCCTCTTCGGAGAGCTCTCTCTCCTGATTGGATCAAGTGGGACTGAATACCAGAGTATGTATTCTCTGTTTACTGCAGAAAGGAAGCACTGGGAGACCCGTGTTACTGACTGAACACTCGACATCAGTGATGGCTGTTGGAATGATAATGCTTCTTTTACAAACAAATATTGATTACAGCAACTTTTAACATTTTGGTCTAGATTGAACTTTTCACACATTTCTGTTTATGTTTAATTAAAGTAATTTAGTTAAAGGGTGTTTAATTCAAACAACTCACTTCTTTCTTCTTCTAAGTCCATTATACATATATATCTTAAATGTCTTTTTACACCAAAATACACAAAAAAACCCATTATTTTCTTTCTTACTGCTAAAATAACCATGCGAGTAGTTTCGGTTTAATTTGTCCCGGTTTTGAGATATCCTGCTTCCACTCCAATACAATGGAGGTGAGTAGAACTTCAGAGTAATAGGGACACTAATTCTGGAAAGACATGTTGCTACTGTAAACTTATTCCATGTGAGCTCCACCAATGAAATGTATGACAAAATAATCTCAGTTTCCATACACTGACTCCAAGCCAAGGAATTGATTGAAATAGAGAATGTTAAAATCCAAATCAGATCTTTGTCATATCACAAAGAAACTTGTCCACTGTGTACACTGTTGGGCCACACAACAAATTATTTAAGCAGGAATGAAACATTTAGCTGAATTGTCATAGCTTGTTCTCATATTCAGCCAACACAGCATATCTCCATCTGATTCCTCTATTCATTTATTTGCTCATTCTGATGCATATTGTAGCTATTATTGTTGTTGTGCTGTGAAATGGTTTTTCTGTTAGAGTATTGCATCAAGTAGCTGATTTGAACTTGTTTTCTAATATCATTATCCTTATTAAGATCTTGCATCACACCCATCCACTACACCACAGCAAGTGTGAATGTTCAGAACATTATTTTGTGGGTTTCCACTCTAGATATCTATGTGGTTAGATATTTAACAGATGACAAAAATGCATACTGTGCTGTGTAATATTACGTTAATGTAAAATCAGTCAGAGATGAGACTACTCTGCCAATTCACAATAGCTAATTGCATTTGCACATATTACTTTTGGATCATTTGAAATCTGCAGATGAGGTCATCTAGATCCTTACAGTCTGCTGTAGGCTTATACCGATGTCCTTCCATCTGGCGAGGCTTAGGACTCGAGAGCTGCTGGCTCTGTGACTGCGATGCTCTCAAAGAAGACAAAATCCTGAGTCACATCAAAGGATTTATAACATAGAACGCGAGTCAAACAGTGTTATTACAAAAACAATCCAGTGATATGATGAGAAAAGGATGGTGCTAAAATGAGAGTTATGTGTTGTTTTTCACTCAAATCCTTTGGTACCCTTTATTTCACAACAGCTGGAAAACCATCTTGGGTGTCAAACATGCAAACACACATTTCCTTGCAGACTTCAGGCTTAGGAGTTCAAGTCTGACTTGACTGAAAAAGACCATTTACAAGTTTCAAGAGATACTTTGAAATGAATTTGGCACAAACCATCCTTCTAGTGTCAAACTCTGCACATACATCATTCTGCACAGTGAGAATCAAACGTCCAACTGTAGGAACAAGAAGAAAAACATAGAGTGGAGGGTGGCTTTTAGATTCACAAACATTTCATGAAAGAGACGACCATTGTTGATTTTGTCATCGAATCCATCGCAGTGTCAAACTTGAAGCCAAATTAGCATATTGCATAGCTTTTTGGTCGAAAAAAAAGGGAAATTGGAAAATATGATGCCATCTCATGAAATATGTGTCCTTTGTCTACTGTTCTCTTGCAAGCTCTACATCCTCCTTTTTCTTCCAAAAGGCATCCAGAGAAAAGTAATATAACAGTGGATCCAGACAGCAGTTTACAGCAGCAAGACATACCAAGGGCGTTAACACAGTTTTATCAGCTGTAAGCAGACCGACCGACACAGGCAAGAAACATACGGTAAACATAACCAAGTTCATGACAAAAATCAGCATGACATTCACCTTGTTGTTGACCTTTGCAGAGTCACTGAGACGTTTGCTTAGAGTCCAAGACACCAGAGCGGTGCACACAACATTGATAGTCAGCATGGTGAACACTAACACAGGCTGAAAATATTGTATTGGTGATCTGTTAGGACTAGGATTGCGAGGAAATTCAAAACAGGTTGCATTGCGGCCCGATTCAGTTAAGTTTTGTAAACATTCTGAAAAGTTGATGCTCTCTGGGATGTTCACCACCACCACACACAGCCAAACAAGCGCGGCAGCTTTCCAGGTGTTGGAGGAGGTTCGGAGATGGCGTGACCTCAGGGGGAAAACCACAGCCAGGAGCCGATCCATACAGATGAAGGTGATGAAGATGGAACTGCAGCGGATGTTGTTGCGAAAGCTCATTGAGATCAAGAGGCACGCCATAGCGCTCAGTGGCCAGGTGCCGGTAGCGTAAAAGTAGACCCTCATAGGCAAGGAGATGACGAGCAGCAGGTCTGAGATTGCCAGGTTGACCATGAAGACAGCACTGGGGGATTGGAGGCTGTGATGTCTGAGAAGAATCCACAGTGACACAGCATTGAGAGGCAGACCCACTGCCATAATACAGCCAAAGACCACAGCATAAACTGGCTGTGGCGCAAGTCCATCTTCCATGGTGTTGTTCATGTCTGATGAGAAAATCAATGTTTCCGCATCGCGTACTAAACATTAGAGTGGAGCAGACAGCACTAGTTCTTCCAATGCAACAATAGTTCTTCCTCCTGCTCTTTAACTGTAGGAAGTGAGATAAAATGTGCAGCACATCAGATTGATAGTGTGAAAATGGGACAGGAAACTGTGACGCAGGTGGTGACTGTGACCAATTCACTTGCGCGTTTTGTGCAGTTTTAAAATGTTGTTTAATTAGGGAATTGAGTACTATTTTTATAAAGATTTGTGGTGATTGGTAGATTTATACAATTTATAGCAGCTAGAGGAGTATTTTTATTTATTCACATTTATGTTGTTTTTATGTGCAGGGGTTCTGAATACTTTCTTGATCACTACTAATGATATTCATGGGCTACTAAAACCCCCAAAAACTGTCCGTAGAATGCTTCAATATAATTTCTACAAGTTACTGGCTAATTTTGCTCTATTTACTTGACCACTGTTATTTATTCTGTGTATTTAAATGAACTTACATTGGCATTTATCAATATTTTTATGGTAACAATGTATCACATGACATAGAATGCTAATGTTGCTCCATGCCTACTGGACCCCAGCAGGTGAAACTGGGTCCTCACCTCTCCTCCTCCCACACTCTCAGCACTGGCTCTCCCCAGATTTGCTGATGACACTACGGTGGTGGGGCTGATTACAGGGGGAAATGAGGCGGCCTACAGAGATGAGGTCCTGAAACCTGGTGAGTGGTGTGCATCAAACAACTTGGCACTAAACATCACCAAGACCAAGGAACTCATCCTGGACTTCAGGCGGAACAGAGCCGCCCCTGCCCCCCTGTACATCAACGGTGAATGTGTAGAGCGAGTCCTTCAAATTCCTCGGCATCCACATCTCTGCAGACCTCTCCTGGTCGGTCAACACCACAGCGCTGGTCAAGAAGGCCCAGCAGCGGCTACACTTCCTGAGGGTGCTCAGGAAGGAGCAACTAAACACTCAGCTGCTGGTGACCTTCTACCGTTCCACCATCGAGAGCCTGCTGACCTACGCTGTGACAGTGTGGCACTACAGCTGCACGGAGGCCGACAGGAAGCGACTGCAGAGGGTGGCAAACACTGCACAAAAAATCATAGGCTGCCCTCTGCCTTCCTTGACTGCCATCTATAACATAATTGTTCTGTCTCAGCAGGGCCAGAAACATCTTGAAGGACACCACCCACCCCGGCTTCCATCTCTTTAACCTGATGCCCTCTGGTAGGGGCTTCAGGTCCATACGGACCAGAACAAACAGACTCAGGGATAGCTTATTCCCCAAAGCTGTCACCATACTAAACTCAAACTCTAACTAATGTATTTATTGTATTGTATTGTGTTTATTGTATAGTCTTTTATATTGTGCTAATTATGTGTGCTGCTCTACGGAGCTGCTCTTTAATTGTCATTGTACTGTGTATAATGACAATAAAGGCTTTCTATTCTATTCTTTCTATTCTATGTGCAAATAGGAAATACATTCACCATAACCTATGAGATGTTTCAGATGAGATGAGAGTTTTCTGCTTTAATATGAACTGATACCACATCAACGCTAAACTTTTGCGCAAATGTCATTGGTTACAATAGGAATAATCACTTTTCTTAACTTTCTGAAGATAATTTTATCTGAATAGAAAATGCCTATAGCCTTTACTGTTTCTGTTCTGAGGAAATATTTCTCAGTTTAGCTCTAAAGATTATGCTGTCAGGATGTGGGTAGACTGTCATCACATCTCAGTTAGAGGAAATGATATTTAATGTGACCTACTGATGATAATCATAATACTAAGTAAGTCAATTGGAAAATATTTAAATATGTTTTTTTGGGAGGAAGAGGAAAGGGGGTAGAGAGAGAGCATATGACACGGTCAGACAACTTGCAATGCTACCACAACTGCCAGATGTAACCAGAAGACATTTACAAGTGTTTTAATGAAGTGTTTTTGTATAGTCTTGTTTTTTTCAGATGCATAGAATAGTAAAATTGTGTCCTGTAAAACAAATGCTAAATACTGCACAAACTATCGACACAAACACACAACTTTATCACTGATTTGGGTGGATCATATGTTATGGAGAAAAAAATATTTTCTGGTTTTTCCTCTGATGTCTTCTGGCTGCTCTGCCTCAGCTGTTGCTGTTAGTGTGCAACAGCAACAGCAACACTGTGACAAGTCTCTCCCTAGCGGTCTAGCTGCTTTTACCATAATAAGAAAATGGATGTGGTCTCCATGAAGTAACCCGCTGGCCTATGAGGTCATTGTGGCTATCAGTATCTTGGTAGTCCCGACTCTGCCGACATACAAAAATGGGCCAATACAAATGACTGAAAACAGCCGTCTGTGATGACACCCACTTGTCACTCAAAGCAGCCATGCACTTAATTATGTATAACTTGAAGCCTTGATATAACTTAAACGGGTTATATAAAAATTCACCCCCTATACAGTTGTCATGAACGGGGAATTTAGCTTTAGAAACCAAACCGTTTTTTGTACTTGGGTGTAAACACGTTTATTTCTGCTGTAAATTTGGGCATTTTAATAAAGGGCCCTATGGAGATTGATCACTTCTGTAGCCAGCCTCAGGTGGCTGTTCAAAGAACTGCAGTTTTTGTTACTTCTCTGCAGAGGATGCCACTTGTTTTTTACAGGGAACACAAATAGCACTCTGCTTTCCAGTTTTATAAACTTAGACTTATTTTTCTTATTTATAATTTGTTTTAGCATTCTGACATTTCTCAAAATTGGCACAATGACACTGGAAAAAATGCATAACAACTGAGAGAGTGTTGCTGGAATGAAGCTTCTGTGTGTGTGTGTGTGTGTGTGTGTGTGTGTGTGTGTGGGGTGTGCGGGTGTTTCTGTGGTTACTTACGGGGACAATCCCTCCCACTGCTTCAATACACTGATGCAGCACATTAAAAGAGGAAAAAGTCGAAAACTGCTGCAAGTCAACCACTCAAAAAAAAGCCATTACGAGGCAGAGAGATCTCATTACATCACTGAGCTGACGCCCTGTTTTGCTGAGCACTTTGTATATGGCAGATACACACACACAGTCTCACCCGGTTCTCATGATGTGTCAAATTCAGATCATAATAATGCATAGGTCATATCAGTTTCCACAGCCATATTTCAGGGATCACCTCATCATTGCAGCCCCCTCCAGGGACTATATAGGGATCTGCTGAGCGGTGGAGATCCTCCTGAGTCCTGCAGATTGGATATGCATTCAATTTAGCTTAAAGCATCCCGATTTGGTGGTAAAGATGTTTTTCTCCCCAGCCCGTGGTCTCATCCTTCTACTGCTCTTGAACATTGCTGATGCTGGTGAGTTGCAGAATGTGATAATGGGTTCACTCACAGATTTATGTTTGATTCTATAAACTGTCCTAACAACTTGATCAACTTGATAATTTGTTAAGAAATCATACTACCAGCACAAATATGTCAAAGCTGAAGCGATCAAGTAATTTTATTCTTTGCTCATCATTTCAGGTAGAGTTTATTTATGCTTGCAGTTGTCAAATTTGAGCTGGAAGAAAAAACAAAGCAGGTGTTGTAGGTGTGACAGTGAATCCCCTGAGAATCTAATGCTGGATGTTGACTGTTCCTGAAATAGATCACACATTTTGTCGGTGGAGTTTTAAGTATTTTTGTCAGCCATCACATCAGTGACATGAACACAAGCTCCTAGGTAAAATATTAGCAGATTGTTCAGGTGTTTTTATCAATAAAAAGGACTGATAGCCACATAGGAGGATCCTTAGAGCAGGTTGGATCCTCTCAGCTCTGGTACTGCCTGGAGGCCAGCAGGTCGGTATGGCTCCCATAACGCAGGACTGAGTTCCTCAAAAACAGCCTGAGCAATTACTCTGAAAATGATTGACAAGAACTGATGACAATTCTCATTCTCTCTTTTCCCTGCTACTTCTTTTTTTAATGCCAGGGCGGATTCTGAGGAAGATCAAGGAGCGCGTGCGTGATCTCCAGCTGCAGAAAGCCAAGCAGCATCTCCTGATGCGCACAGAAAGCGGTCATCAGCCTCTCCAACGTGTGAAGGAGGGAAGGATTCACCAGAAGCTGGACCACTTCAGCCGACAAGACGTTAGCACCTTCCCTCAGGTAGAGAAAGATCAAACAATGCTTTAAATATTCATACATTTCAAAGTCTGTCCAGTGTGGGTGCACAGAGCAAGGCCTAGCATTTGAGACATAATAAGCAATTTGCACCCTTGACTTTGAAAACGTATGGTGATGATCAAAGAAATCTTACACAGGTTTATGTGATCTCATAACCTACACAAAGACAATATCTTTGAAGAATAAAATAAGCTGCCATTGTATGTTATTTCTGAGGAATGTTTTTCTAATGCAGCATAGCTAATTAGAAAGCATGCCATCTTAAAAGAGAATAATAGTGCTGCAGGAATGAGTCCTACAACCTAGGTATAAGTTAGCATTTTTGAACTTCTGAAGTCAGTGGGTGTTTTGCATGGGATTTTGGTTAGATGTCTAAAATAAGGTCAAGCTTAAAGGTCCAGTGTGTAACATTTAGGAGGCTCTATTGGCAAAAATGGAATATAAGTATGTTTTCATTAGTGTACAATCACCTGAATTTAGGAATCGTTGTGTTTTTCCTTTGTGCTTGGAAGGGGACGGTGAAGCAAGGGAGTCTGTAACTACACCGCTAGATGCCACTAACACCTACACACTGGACTTTAAAAAGATCATCACATAATTTTCACAGCATAAAATACTTCAGTAAATACATCATCTGTGAATCCTGAAGCTTTTATGTGTCTTGAAAAGGGCGGTTGCTAACAAGTGGCTAAATGAGGGGTTGTTGTGAAATTATATGTCAGCAGACTTGTAGATTTTAATCATGCAATTTAATTACAAGTTGGTTTAGTGGTGGTATTTGGTGTAGTTCATTTACAGTCTACATTAGCTTTTTACATCTGGTAACTGCATTTATGCTTCAAAAATCATAAAAGTGGTGTTCATTTGTAAATATCATAAACCTTTATTCGCCACAGAGCTTATTTTCTGCAATAATCCAAAATCCAATGTAAAAATCCCATTGGCTTTTTGTTCAAGGAACCAGGATGATAGCAACTTCTGGGTTGGGCTACAAAAATACCTCATCCCTGCAGAACTCTACAGAGCTGAAACAAAACAAGGTCTCCTGTCCCACTGAACTGTGCTGCTGTAGAGGAAAACTCTAAAGGCGAGAGCTAAACTGAGCAAAATCCTCCTTCTCAGCTCCACCAGTCACTGACAACACCACGTTTCCCAACAGCATGCATTGAAATGTTAAGCTTCATTTAGCTCTCACTGCCATTGGAGGCTGCCAATGTGCAAATGTGTCCAGTGCAGCATCAATTAAAGGATTTACTTACACTATGACTATGAACGTACTGCTGTTTCGGGGGAACTTGAATAAAACGTTTTTTTCTTTCATTTTTTCTCCCTCTGCTTCTCTCTGCCTGCAGAGGTTCTTTGTGAACGAGGCATACTGGCATTGTCCTGATGGTCCAGTATTCCTCTTCATCGGAGGCGAAGGGCCCATCTTTGAGTTTGATGTTCTGGCAGGTGCAGTAAGATGCATGTTGCTCAAATGAATCAAATAGAGAAAACGAACAAAGACACACCTCCACAGATTTGAAAATGAAAGTGGAAACATTGAGTGAAGCATCATATTGTGTGTTAGTAAGATGACACTTGTTTGCAAGCATACTTCTCACCTTTAATGTCTCTTTCATGTATCAGCCATCTGTATCGTCCCTACATCTATTTCTTGTTTCCATTAGTTAAAACTAGAATTTCATTTTTAGCTCTCTTCACAATCTTTCTCATGGGAATACTGCTTTGTGCTTCTTCATGCTGTTTTGTTGTGCTCTACAAATCTGTAGTACAAGATTTAAGGCAAAGGAAATTATATAATTTATAAACATAGATAAAATACATACACACATCATGTCATCTAGTCAGAATATCTATGACAGCCATTTGCAACACTTTTTTTCTTTCTCACAGTCCGGATGGGGGAAAATTACTTTTACATACCTGTAGGAGGTTGATAGTGTCATCACATTTTTTACCTTCTTGAAAACGTTAAATCCCCTCATACTGTAGTTGTAGTTCTTGTTAAAAAAGTAGACTTTGCTGCACACTGAATCTTATCTGCTTTGACCATGTTTTCCCAGGTCACCATGTGGACATGGCTGAAGAGCACGGGGCTCTGCTATTGGCTCTGGAGCATCGTTTCTATGGTGACAGCATCAACCCTGACGGCCTGAAAACGGAGAACCTGGCAGACCTGAGCAGCCAGCAGGCGTTAGTGTTGGCTCCAGTCCCTACCAGTGTGTGTGTGTGTGTGTGTGTGTGTGTGTGAATATGTATGGTTGTAAATGTGTGTCTTCCAGCCTGTTTTTCACCTCACTTCCTCTCCCTAATTGCATATGTATGTGCATGTGTCTCTTTTTACTTTTTATTTTATGCTCATTCAGTTTTCCGTCTCCAGCTTTTTGTGTGTGTGTGTGTGTGCGCACGTGTGTGTGTGTGTGTGTGTGTGTGTGTGTGTGTGTGTGTGTGTGTGTGTGTGTGTGTGTGTGAGAGAGAATGTATGTTTTGGTGTTTTGGAAAATAAATCTTATATAGGGGGGACAGTGATCGAACACTTGCATTTGCCAATGAGATTGAAATAGCCTTTCTAGCCTAATTCTTAGTAAAGGACATGCTGACACTATAACCTAACTTTTTCTGTCCAAGGAAACCCAACTACATTTACGCACTCATTCATTTTCTTTTTCCAAACTTCGGTGAAAATAAACCTTTTTTTGTGTTTTTTTGTCCAGGCTTGTTGACTTGGCTGTATTCCACCAGTACATCAGCCAAAGCTTCAATCTGAGCCACAAGAACACCTGGATCAGCTTTGGAGGCTCGTACTCTGGAGCTCTGTCCGCCTGGTTCAGAGGAAAGGTGCAGGACTGGATCCAGATATGAATGGCACATCATCATTTTTAATAATACTTTTTTAGATTTTTAAGAAATTATCCTTGAGCATGAAAAGTGTTTCTAATAATCAACTTATTCATGTGAGACAGCATGATTATGAAAACATGTATGAAAAGCTTGAACTTATCGTATCATTTTACAAAAATGTAGAGAAACGCCACAATCGTTCCGATAGGAATCAGTTGGTGGGGAACATCCACAATGTGAGTGTAGAGTTGTTCGAAGGCAATATTTCCTTTCTTGTCATGAAGGTTGCTCTTTGTTCACACCCTAAAATAGATAAGAAAGGACATCCTGAAACACCTTTCCTATCATTTAGGGAATTTACCACCACCTATCATGTCTACCACTTAGATACCTCTGGGTCAACAAACTAAATGATGTTGAGTTTGTTGTTAACACGTGACAGGCTGTGATTTATGATCACTGCAGTGCTTCCAGAGTAAAGTTTCTTACATTTTTCAGCACGTGAGGAAAACAATTCGCAGTCAGGTCCTACGTCATTAATAATCTGCACTGTTTGGTCAGATTTAAAAGATAAGGCTGCAGTTATTCTCTATGTTTTCTTATTATCAACAAATCCCATCTTTCAATACTTTCTCTACCTTTTTTGTGGCTCTCAGCCCCAAGCCTGTTTGTCTCTACTGAACATAGACATTTTAGAAAATGAATCTAAATATGTAACTTCACTTTTTTAAAAGCCTAAATAATGCACTAAAATGGCTGGGCATTGTAGGTTTTATCAAAAGTTACTCAAACAGGAGTAAAAAGGGTATTTGCTGGGGGCTACTTTTAGGGGTGGATGTGAGCATTTACAGCAGCAGCAGGATATGTGAGACTGCCTCAAAATAAAGCTGGCAGACGTATTTTTTGTACAGTGGAGCTGTATGGCCACTATTATACTGAATCCCACAATTTGTGGAAGAGACTATGTGATTTATATTCTGTGTATGCCACACAGGTCAGTAAGGAGACAAAACATTAGAATGCAACAACCTATATATTGCTCTTTCACTCTTCTGTCTCTGTTGCTCTTGCATCCTACTGCAGTTTCCCCATCTGGTGTACGGAGCCGTGGCCTCCTCTGCTCCTGTAAAGGCGAAGCTGGACTTCTCTGCTTACAGCAATGTAAACTGGCATAATCCATGGTCACAATATTAGCATATATAGCATATAGGGCTGTAGCCAGGATTTTTAAAATACTGAGGTTATGGGTTCATATATAATTTCAAATATGTCAAAAAACATATTTTTGCATGTCTAAACATGTCCGAATCAGCAATAGGCTATGTGTGTAATATAACCCCACTCCTCAGATCATTAAACCCCCCAAATTCCCAGAAATTTTACCAAGGAGTTGACCATAGTGTACTCAGTTGTACCTATAGCCCTGCATATTACACATTCACAATAAATTACCACTAATAAGTCTAGCACTTTTCCTTAAAATATCCATATTCTCATCCTCATATCTGGGATTTCCTCTCTTTCAGACTGTTGGCTTGAGTCTCGCGAATGAAGCAGTTGGTGGCTCAGAAAAGGTGTGAAGGCAGCCACCTGTCTGTACATCACATTACAGGCATTAAATTCCTGTCTGTCACTTGTTAAATTCACGCTCATCCTCTTCCTGTAGTGTCTAGCTGGTGTGCGAAAAGCCTTTGCTGCTGTGGAAGCAGCACTGATGAGTGGTAATGCCAGCCAGGTGGCAATGGACTTTGACTGCTGTCACATCCCCAAGGATCTTAATGATCAGGTGACAGCTTTGATTTTATGAGATGCTGAAGGGGAAAATGTGTTAACAAAGGGGGGCAATGTAGTGGCATCTTGTTATGGGCATTTTTATCCTTTTGTAAGCTATTTTTTGACGATTTTAGATTCCAACAATCCCCAGACTTGGTTTGGTGGAAATAAATCCTTAATTCACAGAGTTAGATGAGAAAAACAGCAGTTTCAGTTTATCCTCTGTTACACATGGACGAACTTACACACATGAACATGCACATGGAGCAGACCAGACAGGCTGTGATAGTACACAGGTAGAGGGAGCATGTCGTCATTATCTGCTCAGGACAGCATTACTCAACTATGTCTTTACATATAGCTATATAGTTGTTTGCTGCTGTTTTAAATATAAATACACTTTAACCATTTATCATTACTTTTAGCTATTTCAACCATTTATCTACTAGACTACTTTTACTCTTGGTTGGGAATCAATGTTCTATCTAAATAATCATTTAATCAAATTTTACTTTTTCTTCTCTTGTTTTTTTTTTCAATGCTGATGCAGAATAAATAGGTCTGAGAGGAAAATAATAATTTTACTGTCGGCATATGTATATCTCACTTCAGATTGAGCTGATGCAAAACTTGGCCGACATCCTCATGGGAACAGTGCAGTACAATGAAGAAGGGGTGCTCATGTCTATTAATGAGATCTGTGGTATTATGACCAATAAGAGCGAGCCATTTGAGAAGGAGATGGAGGCTTACAACCGCCTTGTTAAACTTGCACAGGTATGGAAAACACACCCCTAGACAGTATGAGGATGACCTCTTGCTTGTAGTTTTCCCTTTCATGCATAGTATAACCACAAGATGTCACCGTTGAGCCATTTCCATGAATTCTTCATAGGCGACAGGGTGTTGTAGTCCCCCTAGAGTTAAAATGAAAAGGTGCAACCATTTTCCTTTTCAGCAGAATTATGCAGTCAAGGCAGGTGTTTCCTTTGTTTTGTGTGTTTGTTTACAGATCTACCATTCTACCAGTGAGGAACCATGTCTGGATATCTCCCATGAGAAAACAGTGAAAGATCTGATGGATACGTCTCTCCACTCAGGCAGAAGAGCAGAGAGACAGTGGACCTACCAGACCTGCACCGAGTTTGGCTTCTGTACTACACACGCACACACACATGCACCAACATATAGTCAACCTTCATTCTACCCAAGCCTTGACACTTTTTCTCTCTCTCTCTCTCTCTCTGTGTATGTGTGTGTGTGTGTGTGTGTGTGTGTGTGTGTGTCTGTGTGTGAAGACCAGACTTGTGAGGATGCCACTTGTCCATTCTCTGGGATGGTGACTCTGCAGACCGAGACTGAAGTCTGTCCCATAGTGTTTGGCATTTCCCAGCATTCCCTGCCTGGACGCATTGCCTTTACGAACACTTACTATGGAGGAAACAACCCACACACCCACAGGGTCCTCTATGTCAATGGTGAGACTAGGTTTACAAGACAAAACCACAACAAATGAACCTATGGAGTAAAGTCCGGGAACAGTGAGGTGAAGGAATATCTCAACAGTTGTTCAGGTTTACTGACTCATTTAAAAATCAATCTTGTCATTGTCACAGGTGGAATTGACCCATGGAAGGAGCTGTCAGTGGTGGAGGACAGGACTCGGGACGGAGGAGAAGCCCAGACTATATTTATCAAGGACACTGCTCACTGTGCTGATATGATGAGTGGAAGAGCCACAGACCGCTGTTCACTCAAAAAAGCCAGAGAGGTATCTAACACTGAAAATACAATATGCATAACAAACACATAGATAATAAAGTCCTCATATATTGGCACAAGGTCCACTTACTGGAAATGTGCTGAGGCTTTCAGCTATATATTAAAGAGTAACTTTGGAAATGTTCAACCTGGACCTTATTTCCCCATGTTTTAGTGTCAAAATGAAATTGAATGAGGCCAACAATTTTTGAATTTGGTCTAGTATTGGGTGAGAGCACTGCAGCCTGCAGTCTCAAAACAGGCTACTACGTAATCCGTACGGGCTCTTACGCAGCATCAAAATGCAGCCATTGTTTGTTTTTGCCACTGACCGGCTCTGATTGTGTGTGAAAGTGTCTGAAGACATCATGAAAAGGACCCTACAGAGAAATGTTTTTGGTACCTTTCACTTTATCAGAACTGTGAAATATCCTCTTGGGAGGCGGAGCACAGCACTCACAGGGACACCACCAGTCTCCAGAGCTTTGCAGCCTTGCAGCAACTGGTTCTCCCTCCTCTGCCTGTTGCCCTTCCTTCTCTCTCCTTGTCCACTTTTCAATTTGTTGTCTTATCTGTACAGTCTTGTTCAAATAAACACAAGCAGCCATCAAATTTAAAGGCCTCATCCAAATTCGTAAAATATTCAGCCATGCAGAGTTGGCTCCATGAACGGGGAAACAAGGGGACAGACTCTCCACTTCATTCACTGTGCTTCCTTACTTTTATAAAAGCATGTGAGTGTGATCTTATGACTGTGGTAAGTGTAAATCCATTGTAAATCTAGAGTGCTTTTTTTCAAGTTGAGCGTGAAGTCTGACCGAGTGTAGGCTAGTTTAAGTTAGCTAAACTAGCTGAGAAAGTGGCTGACAATCTTAAAAATATCTTGGAACAATTATTGACTCAAAACTGAATTTTGAAGAACACTGTGTGCAAAAAAGGGCTCCACGTTTGTTTTGTTTGAGGACAACTGTCGTATTTCCACAATGACAAAACCCTGATTACCTTGTTTTCTTGTGCTTTTATTGAATCAATTTAACCTTTTTTCTTTGGTTCTTTGGCTTTAAAGAACAGAAACCCCCTGAATCAAATTGTTAAATGGTCTAGTAGCCACAGTGAGTGAATCATAGCTTACCCCAGCCACCAGACAGTTACCCATTGCACCTTGAATTTCAGCTTCTTCCTTCTGAACAGTGTATAGTCTCAAGATGTAGCACAAAGCAGTATAAAAATAGCTTTGTTCAACCAGCTATGATTCAGATTAACAAGTTGTAGTAACATGGAACAGAATCTAGATTTTTGTTACCTGCCTTATTTATTCTAGTGGTTTTAGAGCTTACAGCACTTATATCCTTTATCATTTATCATGTTAGTCTATTGTCAAAATATTAAAAAAGACAAGGAAGGCCTTTTCTTTTACTGCAAACTAAGTCTACCTATGGGTACAAATAAAGTAACCTAACCTAACCTGACCAGCTCAACAGAGATAAGTTTACGTTTAAGGGTTGACTTTTTTGAGTCGTCGGAGTCGCTTGCGGTGTCACCGGCTCCTACTGGCCCTGCTCTTAATGCTACATCCATAAGGCTGGATGATTTAGGAGAAGATGGGCCTAAACAGGCCAGTCTCCACACCTACCCTGTACTCTGTGACAGTGGCTTTTTATCAATGGGATGCCTTTTGGTCAATATAAATGTGTGCATTTATTTACAAGTGATTTCTGCTTGTGTCAGATTACTGTGATTTTTCCTTAGGATTTTCTCCTGCAGCAAATGGTTTCACTTTTAGTATCAATGACTGCAATGCCACTTGCCAGTAATTTGGCGCACCCCCCCCTTGGATATTTGCTCTAGCGCCGACACTGAATTAACCTTTAAAAACCAGAAGGCAGCACTGTTCTCAAGCACATAAAGTGACTAAATGTTTATTCTTAAACAGTAACCATATTTCCTAGCTGCATGGGACTGCAGGGTGATGTTGCCTCATTATAAAGGAATATAAAGTGTTTATAATTGGTGATTTTTAACACATTATGCCCCCATCTCTCTGCCTTTCAGGAGATTGAGAAACATGTGAGCAATTGGCTGAAGATGGCTGCCCAGGAGAGGATGGAGAAAAGAGCAGTCTGATCAGATCACATTACAACCTGATCAGCTCTTATCACTGTTCCCTGAAACTGATAAGAAAGCTGTTAATAAGCTTGTGTGCCTGGCTGCTCTGCTTCATCATCGTCCACATTTTCTTCCATTTCCTCCCCTCCTGTTTTCCTCCTCCTTACTGTCCATCCAAATCTATCTCACAGCACTGCGCTTCCTCTGTGTGTTTGTGCAGTTTTTTGTGCAGTGTAGAGCAAGTTTCAGCATTTAAGGATTTTTTGTGTACCTTTACGGATGTTTTTCCTGTTTTTAATGTTACTTTTAATTTGGGAAATTTCTTAGTTATCTTATATTTGATATTTATGTAGAATGTAAAGCTACATTGTGTTTATGCTTATAATTACAATCATTTAATGGCTGTTTCCTACATATTAGCTTTTGTGTGTCCAGTAAAAGTAGTTTGGCTGTGGTTTGTTTTTACAATATTCAGCAGCTCCCATAACCTTGTAGTATCACTAGGGTGCGATATTGCTACATGTGTGTCAAACCCGTTTCTTTCTCCTCAGGAAGCAGAACTCGGAATAGTTTTCCTCACTAATGTTTATCTGTTTGTCTCAATAAAAGGCTGCAAATGTCTTGATTTTGAACATTTAGTGCAGTTTTATTCATTTTTTTCATAATGGAGCATTTGTTGTGATGCAGTAGTGTTGTTGTGTTTGTAACACAGAGAAATCATGAAGAAATGGAGAGTGTTTGTGTGAGGTGAGGAAGCACCAGTTGTCCCAAGGCCATCTGTTTCTGTATGGACTGTGTGTGTGTGTGTGTGTGTGTGTGTGTGTGTGTGTGTGTGTGTGTGTGTGTGTGTGTGTGTGTGTGTGTGTGTGTGTGTGTGTGAGAGTGTTTGTGTGTGTGTGTGTGTGTGTGTTTGTGTGTGTGTGTGTGTGTGTGTGTGTGTGTGTGTGTGTGTGTGTGAGAGTGTTTGTGTGTGTGTGTGTGTGTGTGAGTGAGTGTTTGTGTGTGTGTGTGTGTGTGTGTGTGTGTGTGTGTGTGTGTGTGTGTGTGTGTGTGTGTGTGACCTTCCCAGTAGGGGGTCAAAAGTGGGAGGTCATGACCCTGCTGACCCTGTGGGAGTGGAGATCATCAATCAACTAGGGGCTGGACCGAGCAGCAGGAGGACACACACACACACACACACACACACACACACACACACACACACACACACACACCTAGATACTGTAACACACACACTTAAATGTACCTAGGAAACAAATAGATGTTGTATAAAATACATCGAAAGCACATTTGAATCCGACAAGGATGATGAAATAGAAATTTCTCTGGTGGATAGCTGATGACATCCAGATATCAAACATCTACAAACACACACACACACACACACACACACACACACACACACAGAGTTATATGCATAAAGGGCTCTGAGACATTTGCTGCCAGGCAATAGGGTGTGTGTGTGTGTGTGTGTGTGTGTGTGTGTGTGTGTGTGTGTGTTTGTGGTTGGTGTGTGTGTTTTGTTTGATAACATACAAGCTTTCTTTATTCATGGAAAACTCACAGATGCTATCACAAACCTCCGCACGGAGACAGAGCTTTAAAGATGGAAAGAAAGTGAGTAAACCTGAAGCACTTTGTCACTGCAGTGCTTCCATTTCATCCTGTTTCTAACGTCCCCTCATCTCTTTGCAAACAAGCACACCCACAAACAGACACACACCCATTTACACACACCACACAAGCCACTATCAGGGTTATCAGCCAGCACTTGCAGAGCGACAGGGCATGCTTTTTCTCTCTCCTCCTCCTCCTCCTCCTCCTCCTCTTCCAGCCTGTCTTGTTGATCAATGAGGAAGTTCTTGGGCCTCAACTATTAATCAGAGCCCATCGGCGATCTGTCTGCAGAGCCAACCAATCACGGCCCTCCGACAGCTGGGCCATGAAAAATGTGGCCCGGGTGGATGGAGGGGAGGACAGGGAGTTTGGGGTAGTGGCGGGGTCGAGGAGGAGAGGAGGGAGGTGAAGGAGCACTCTATCTGATCCGAGTCAGGTCACGGCTGCAAAACTGCACTTTATGCACTTACAGTTGATTCTTAACATAATGATGACCGCAACACACACACACATGCACACACACACACACACAAATGAGTCCACAGGATTCATGACTGATACACACAGAATAATTCACTTCAATTGACACATTTTGTCCCTGATTCACATTTACATCGAATTGAGGCCTTTTGCAGCCGCTGTGTTACCATTTGTGTTTCATTTGGTGGCGGTTAGAGTGACTGAATCAGACAACAGCTATAATGAACGTAATGTTTTCATGGATTTGCAGCAGAAAACTCCCCAGTGAGGACCACTGCTGATCTGTTGTCCAATAACGTGGCCTGTCCTCACGCCTCAAAAGCTTCATCAACACACCACCATCCCTCTTCTGCATAATCACCATGCTCACACTCATCCATTCACATCTTATTGCCATGATTAGATTACATCTAATGCTATTACAGCGCTCCCATCTCTCCTCTTCCCCCCAACCACCCCTACCCCCCCTCTCTCTCCCTCATCATGGATTTCTTGCAGATCTTATTAGTGTGTGATGTGGACCAGGTCTCCCACTTTGGATTTATGAACCCTCAGACTTCTCTCCTTTAATCTCTCCCTCTCCTCCTCCGCTCCCTTCCTGCATCTGTCCATCTATCATTCCCAGGGTTGGCTTGGGCGGAAGAGTATTAATCCCTCCATCCCATCTCTCACTCCTCTGGACAGATGAGGAGGTGGAGGGAGATGGGGATGGTAGGAGGAGGGGTAGAGGGTAGGAGACCTCAGATTACTTTTCATAATATTTCCGCAGTATTGTGGAGGAAAATGGAGAGGCAATACAGGCAATGTATGCAGATTTACTAGACAATAGGTCACTGCTTTGATACCTTCAACAGGTTTGAGGATGAGCTAGGATGCTGCAGAGGTGAGTGTGTGTGGGTGGACTGCAGAGGCAATAACTGCAGATGGGATGATAAACAACTTTGTGTGGAAGTGTGTGTGTTGTTTGTATGTTTATGCAGTATTTATATGTGTATGTGCCATAATGGGATGTGCGTAAAAATGTGTGCGTGCATTTCTGCAAAAAGGGCAACAGAAGCTGTATCGTATTACCTGTTGATGCCCATGCGGGCAGCAACCTATTTTCAGTATGGAGGGGCCCTGGATGCACAGCTGCTTGCATGCGCACATATATTATTGTTTAGAATAAACTAACAGATGTATATTTTCTGTGGTTAAATCTGAAACTCGTATGGAAATAATATTACAGTAGAATAAATAATATACGTATAATTAAGGATTTTTAAACCTGCAGCAATACGGGAGGTTACTTGTTGTTATTAATGCATGTTTCCATCCTGTCTCTCCTCAGAATCAGCACCTCCTGGCAGTGGCAGAGCACATAATTCTAGACCCTGTACATCTCTATGGGGCCCTGCCTGCATCCACAGTTATTCATTCTAGTGTCTTTGTTGACTGTACGTTCAGTCCCCTTTTCTCCCCCAGTCCAACACTGGCTGTCAGTACTTTCTCTGTTTTTATCTCCTCACCTCCAGAAGTTGATATTGGGTGCACAAGGGGACACAGACGTTCGATGTCAACTACATAAAACATATAAACTGTGTAAATTCAGCATAAATGTGCCTGTGGATGTAGCCTACAGATAACATGCAGCTTCAGTCTCCTGTATTTAGTTGCCTTGGGACTATTTCAAGTGTAGAAATATATTATTTTAGGTTATTTTGTGTTCCGTTATTTTGCAATGGTCAGTTATGTTTTGTATCCAACAGAATAACTGAAACTGTTAAAATTATATGTAAGAGAGATCATTTGAAAAAGTTAAATAATATCTCTGTGTTTCAACCTGGCCAGCTGCAGACCCTAAAGCACCCTTCCCAGCTAATGTTGATGCTGTTAAACACACCCACACCCACACCCACACACACACACACATACATGCACACAATTCAAACACACACACTAACACAGTGAGTATGTTCAACAGAATCCAATAAGCTCTGTGAAATCAATCAGAGTGATCAGGACATTTAATGAGTCCAGTCCCTGCAGGCCAAATTCTTCAAAAAGCGAAGAAACAAATTCAAGGTAAATGAAAGAAACAAACCTTTGACCAACAGTCAGGGTAAAGCCGACTCTCTTCCTCCCCTCACACACTCCCCCCCTTCATCCAAGCCCTTGCAGTGACAGGTAGATTAAGGGGCGTGATAGATGCCCCTCTCTGTGTCTCCCTCTCTCCGCCCCCACCCCCCCTTTCCCTCCCCTCCATCCATCATGGCGGCTGGTGTAATTGCGGCTGCGTGGGGCTGGCAGAGGGAGGCTCCATCCATCTCCTTAACAACAAACAGTCAGGAGGACGGATGGCGCTGCACTCCCCAGTTAATCTCCATCTATAAGGGGGGTGAAGGAGGGGGACCAGGACCAGGAAGGAGGAGGAGGAGGAGGAGGAGCAGAAGGAGGGATGAAGAAGGAGAGGAAGAAAATAACTGAAGGCAGAAAAGGCAGTGTTGGCTTATAAACAAAAAGAGATAGAGAGGGGAATGCAGAAGGATGGAGAGATGGTGGAGAGCGGAAGTGAGAAGCCATGCCCAAACAGGTAAACAGCAGGGAAATAAAGAGAGAGGAATGACCCGGGTGGGGGGAGAACGAGAGAAACTGGAAGGAAAGTTTGCAAACAGGCTGCACGAGCAGATAAGGGGGGATTTGCTGTGGCGAGCGTGCCAGAAGAAAGCAGGAGAGATGGAGAAGAGGGAGGGGGCGAAAATTTATGTCTATGCGGCCAGACGACCCAGAAACTGGAGAGGCACAAGCTCATAAAAATGCACTCTGCACCCCCCTGACTAACCCCTACTTTTACCCCTCTCTGTTTCTTTCCCTCATCCTCTCTTTCTCACTTAACTTCTCTCCATCACTTCGCTCCTTCTCTCTCATGCAGGCGGTGGAGGGTCACAGCTCTGTGATGTTTTTGGGTGGTTGTGTGCGGTTGCCGGAGGTCATGGCAGCCATATTTTCTTAATGGCGGAGTCACTGAAGTCAACAAGGCTGGGTGGCCTTCTTCCTCCCTCCATGTCTCTCTCTGGTAGAGTCAAGTAAGACTGTGGCAAAGGGAGGGCAGCAGCAGTTTGTAGATGTTGTTTTTCACCTTGCAGATGATACATTACTATTTGAACAGGGTCAACAGCTGGCAATGTCATATTTCTGTTTGTACTAACAACATCATGCTGGGCTAAAGCTGTGGAGGACAAAAGCAGTTTGCATTGTCTGCCAACTTTATGAGATTACAGTGGCCAACTATATTTCTAAATTCATGCAGGGGGGTAGAAAGAAACATACAATCATGTAGGCACCAACAGTTATACACACACCCTCATGGACACAGTCTCCCTCTCTGCTTGTTTCCTGTTTTCTAGCCCAGGGCATCGCCTGCAGTGAGGCCCAACTTGGAAGAAGAACACCTCGACACTGACCCTCCAGCACGCAAGAAAACAAGTAAGCGAGCACACAAAGAAATGCACACGCACAAACGCACACATACCACTGTGTCTGCTGTCATGAACACACTTACACACTTGCTATAGTGCAAGCACAGGCACTCAACAGGCCTTCGTGGGTGCAGGGGAGCGAGCACTTGAGCCTTGACAGGGAGTGACAAATAACTGCAGCAGCCTTGACATGCAGAATGGTCCCAGAGTGAACCTGGCTGACTGATGTTCAGCTATGTGCTGCAGGAAAAGAGACTATTTCTTACAGGAGAGCTACACAACTGGAGGAACTCGCGTGGACCTGAATTAACCTGGAAGTTTGAGCCACCTCTTTATATTTTAATCAGCCATCACATGTGCATTTGTGCCGTCAACCAAACGGAGTGTAAATGAAAGCACTTGTGGATTTTGGATGGTTTGGTAGGAAAATCAGATTAATTTTCACACAATGTTAGGAAGACAATAAAAAAAAGCTGGAGCAGATAATTGAAACATTGGCATTACTTCCTCATTGTTTGTGGTCCCACAGACCCCAGGGCAATATGTGTACAAATTATAATAATAAAGCCTTCCCTTTAAATGTTTTTTTCCTTTCTTCTGGCCTTATGAAACGCAGTGCCTCAGCACATTTGTTTATTGTATTGTTAAATGTATGTATTTAATGTTAAATAAGGAAATATATCATGTTTTGTTATATAGCCTAAGCAACGCATGAACAAATATATTCCTCGTGTTTAGCAAAAAGTCACTGACACACAAATAAATCTACAATACACTGTCCTAGTGACATTAGCTCTCTGGCCTCTTCTGAACAAACTGTTATAAAATGTATTTAGCATTTGGGAGGGTAGTACTGTGTAAAAAGTACTGTTAACATCAATGACAGAGGGAGCAATATAAAATGCATTGTGTTTAATCAGTTTACAGCTGAGGTCTATCCAAACAGAAGCAAGTTATTATTATTCTATAGTTCAAAATTATTGCTTATAATAAATAAGCAATTCTGAAACAAAAACATGAAGTTTCAAACTGATAAAACTCTCTATAACTAACTATGCATGACAGCATTATTTTCATTTTGTCTTTATCTGGGTGTGTTATTACAGGGCAACTGTGTGCCTGCTTTGGGAAAACATGCTACAGTTGTGCTACCTATCAGCACAGGTTTAACAACATATGTTGTGCTAAAATGTGTTGCCACACATTTACTGTAGCAAAGTAGGTGTTGTTTAGTCTCAAAGACACAAGGAGATGTGATAAAAATGACAGATTCTTTTGTGTTTGTGATGTAAATGAGTGCAATCTACATGTTGAGATAATAGCCTGTTAGATAAATGTTACAGGGACTTTAGATTTATGGTCCAAGTTGAAGTGTCCCGAAGAAAAACACAGAAGGGTTAGGGGTTTTCCACCAAGGGAGATGAGGAAATCTAAATCCCTGTGAACATGAAATCTTCAGATGATGCTCGCTCCTTTTCATTCAACCTGTTAACAAAGTGAAAACAAGCCTTGGATCGTCTTTTCCAGCCCATTGATACTGCTTCACGGCTGTATTACCGGCTCAGTGTAGGAGGGGGCTGAGCGCTGTGATCACCCCTGTAGGAAACCAGCGCCCTGCGGAGTTAAAAGACCCCAGATTGGATGGACGGTGCGGGGCCCTCACAGGCTGCCCCAACCGGTCAAACTCCATGCCGCCCACGGAGACGCCTGCCCCGGCCCGCTGTACCCCGCCAGGCCGCTGTTGATTGAAGTGCAGCCGCCTGTTGGCCCCTCACAGCGGGGCAGGGGGAAGAGGAGCGTTTTGAATAATTATTATGTTACTTAGGTGTCATTTACAACACAAGACTGGGGGGTTTAGATATTCCACCAACACGTGAAAGGGTTTTTTCTTTCTCTCTGGTTAAAATTAAACTTTCTCACAGAAATGGTTTTGTTTTTTCTCTCAATCAACAACAAAGAGGGCCAAAGGGGGACATTTGGGCAGTGTCAAAAGGCTGACTACAATGGATGTGGACTGAAACAATAAAACACTTTGAAAGCTATTATCAGCCAGTAACTTTCTTGTCATGTAGCACGCTTCAAACTTATTTATGACCCGGCAACTTGATTAAAACTCTTAGTTTTTTGCAACAATTAGCCTCAGAAGGAAACATTTTCATTGCTTTTGATTGTTTTTTCTCTCTTGCTGACAGCACTTAAAAGTGCGTATTCCCAATGAGCTGCATTTGTTATCAGACTTTGGAAGCAAATTCACTATTATATCTGTTTGGCAAGCTGCAGACACTTAATACCTAATATATATTCCCATTCCTATCGCCTTAATTGATTTTCCAGAGTTTAATTAGACTCTGTTAAACATGCTCCATCCCACTGGAGTGAGAGAGTTATCACGATTCTTCTCCCGAGTTATCACGAGACGATTGTAGCGCAGCTGCAGCACGGATGGGGAGAAACGAGGGGAGGATGGAGGGATGATGGAGGAGTGATATCAGCTCGGAGGAGAGCCGAGATAAAACGATTGAGGGGGTCTTCTTCTTCTTCTTCTTCTTCTTCTCTGGCGTTTTGTGTGTGTGATAAGGAGGAGGAGGAGTAAGGGAGAGGAAGAGGAGGAGGAGGGATGGAAGGAGGGAGGGGGGCCAAGAGACCCCGTCGCGTTTTGACCCTCTGAAACCTCTCCGCACACACCGCACACCGCACTCCACCACCACCATCACCACTCCTCCTCCTCTCCTCCTCCTCCTCCTTCTCTCCTCTTGAGACTGAAAAACACTCATCGCTCATTCCCAGCCGTGACATTTTCCAGCCTGTAGCCGTATGTTGCGCGGACAGCGAGCGCAAGGAGCCAAAAAGGAACGGGACGCTTGCTTTCTATCTGCCTCCCAGAGCACCGAGCATCCACACGGGCTGCGAGCCGGAGCGAGAGGCGCACCAGGCGGAGGCGAGGCGCTGCAGGAAGCCGCTGCTCCCTTTCACCGGGTTTCTGGACTACACCGGACACAGCCCGAACAGGACTGGATACGGCGATTATTTACGTCTCGGTGGGAAATTTTACACCATTTACTGGAGCCCTGTGCATTACTCAACATCAACAGCCAGTCGCATTTAATATGCTGCGAGCTTTATTACCGCTAAGTGTATTATAAAGCATTAAGCTTACAGCGTACAGAAGGATATCAGCGTCCATAAAATCTCCAGTCCCATCATAATGTTGTAATATAAAACGCGATGAGCTCGGAGTAAACAGACAGAGGGAGCAGGTCTTGACTGTTTTATATCCACAGCCTTGTGTTTTCATTGAATCCTTAAAGGCTTGTTTTGCATGATGTTAACCGTGTTTGCAACCTTACTGCTGATGAATATAAAAAACACATTACTTTTATTTCCAGGACCCCAGGGACAGAGGAAGGGAGCAAAGCTCGCTGGACTAGCCGAGCAGCGCATCATCATCTCCGGTGTAGGACTGGCTGTCGACTCGCATGGAGAAGAGGGTAGGTCTGATTTTATTTTAATTTTTTTTTGTTTTATTTTATTTTGAATAAGAATTGTTCTAGAGCACAGCCTGCTGGGATAACAGATTTCCAAGGGGAAGAGGTAATTATAAACACGTCATAATGGGAGCATATGGGTGGGAATCCTCTTTGCGCTGCTGGGTCTCTGGTCGGGTTTAGCAGCCGTGCAAAACACAAGGCCCACTGGAAACAGACTAGTGGACTGTGCTGGCATGGGCTCAGTGTTTAGGGGAAAACAACAGAAGAATGTGCCAGCAGAAGCATCGCAGCCGCAGAGAAATCCGTCATTTGTAATGCAAAAACTATCTAAAAATGTTTTTCATACGCCACCAAATGTTTCTGTGCAAGCGCCTTTATGTTGCTGCAAAGAAACTACTTTTAATCCCTCCACCTTTTACCAGCCATAATCCCCAATTCATAAGGTGAAACGCAGTTGCACTGTGGATGTCAGCAGTCTCTCAGAACACTTAATTGGGATGTAATATTTAATCCTCTCCTTAGAATAATATGGATTTATTGTCGTGTAAATGTCAGTCAGGCGTTAGAGTGGCACATAAGGGTTTTAGAGTAGTGTGGGTCATTAAGAGGCTGAGGAGAGGAGATGCAGCTCTTCAACTCGGTAAGTAGGTCAGTTTTTTTGCTACAGTGATTCAGAGGCATGGTGGTGGTGTTGGTGGTGGTGGTGGAGGAGGAGAAGCAGGCAGTGGCTGACGGGCAGCAGGCGGACTGAGACCTCAGAGTAGAAGAGAGGGCAATTAGAGATGTACAGTGTGTAGACAGAAAATCACTGCTGTATGAAAACAGAGCAGGGAAGAGAGCGAAAGGTCCACACACACAGTCTGTACAAAACACACACACACAGAGAGAGAGAGAGAGAGAGAGAGAGAGAGAGAGAGAGACTACCAACAGCTTTAAACAACATTTGAATAAAGATATCCACAATAAAATATAGCTCTCTGATGTTTGTTAAATGTACCTACTGGGTATCACATGTAAACTGATTACTGGATGTATGTGATATCTCACTCTCCCATTCAGTTCAGTTTATTTTGTACTATTATGTACAGCAATAACGCCGTATGACAAACAAAAGTTCCCTGGGACAAAATTTGAGGAAAATGAAATGGAGATTGGCGGTCTAATGCGAGTCTGTTGGAAACATGTCGGCAGTTTTTTTTTTTTTATGTCAGAACCTGATCTCAAATCTATAACAGGTCCAGTTTGATTTGTGTCGTTCTATCTGTTTTAAATGCATTGTAAATGATACTACAAGTTTATCTGCAGCCATAATAACATTTTTAAAACTTTAGGCAGCTTTTAAAATGCTTTATATTTATATCAGCTTTCGCTTGTCTTGTTATAGTTTGTTCCAACTTTTTTGTTGTTCTCAGCCTTGTTTATTAAAGTTCAGGAAAAAAATACAAATTTAAGGTAAACTATGAAGGTTTTTGCTGGATATTTAAATAATTTCTTGAGGTAAAGTAGTCACAAATTCACATTTCACTTTTATTTTCTAAATTTACGCACTGAGAAAATTATGAGTTTGAATTAGTTTCCATGTTATCTACAGGATTATTTGTAATGTAGAAAAGGGGCATTGCTTTTAGACATCAGCCATTATTCTACAATGAAATGTTCATGTTTACAAAGTCAAATAGACCCGTTATTCTTAATTAATAGTGAAGGAGTTTAATTAATACAGTTAGACTTTTAACTTTTAACAGGGTCTGAAACGTGAGACAAAGCTGTGCACCTAATTTCGTTTTTATTTTTGACTTTTTATTATAGACAATTAAATGTTCCATTCAAATATAAATCCAGTTCTTCAAAGCCAAATGGCGTTAGTCCTACATATCATGATCGGCTCTGGGGATCTCTTCAGCTAAAGCAGCCTGTCAAGCCTGCAATATCTTCCCTGCGTCGGTTGAAACAACAATAATAATTAAAACTCGTAATAAAAATGTTGTCCTGCCATCTGAAGCCTGTTTACCAGCTCCGTGACTTTTAAAAAAAGGGAAAATTCTTGGAATTTGTCATCTCGACTTGTACGCTTTGATCCGCTTGATGCACAGAAACTCGATAGGGGCCGTGCGTAAAGAGAGACGCGCAATCCGATAGCGGTGATTGTGTTAATAGCCAGCCTCCATAAAAACTAGAAGGTGTCCCGGGCCAGGGCCTCAGAGCAGGTGCTTTCTATGATCCCGGTGGCCATATGGGACTCTGAAATACAACAATTTGATAAGCCATTTAGGACAGTGGTTCCCAAAGTGGGGTCCGGAGACCTCCAGGGGTCCTGGAGAGGGGTTTGCAGGGGGGCAGTGCATGCACATGAAGAGGGATAATATAATTAGTCTTTTATTTAATTCCAAAAGGTTAACATAAAGAGAAAATGTAAGAATATTTGCTTTTATTTTTCAGTTGCTGTCTCACCTTTTATTTATGCACTCCACATACAACAACAAATATCTCAGATTGGACTGTTTTGGACAAAGATCTTGGAGTCTGTGAGCCATGAGGAGTTGTGACAGCATTAAAAGTGTAAAAAATATATCACCATGTCTAATATTAGTATTTTATATCATAATAATAGCTTTAATTACGGACTTTTAAGGACAAATATAAAGGAGTTACCTTCAGCTTCTTCACACACTTCTGTAGTAAATCACACGCTCTTATGGTTGCCTGCCTGGGGAATAGTCACCACAGAAAAAGCTAAGCAGATCATAACTTTTATGGCTCAGTTAAAATAACACAGGAGTGAAAGGTGTCCAGGCCAGGCCACCAAGCAGGTGTCCGTCTGTGATCCCTGTGGGCCTGTGGGGACTGCGGCGGGAAGTCCCTTTAATCCAGCAGAAAGAGCAACAGAAGCAGATCTGCTGACCTGAGCAACGTCGTCTCAGAGACAGGAGCTGCAGTGAAGCACAAATTAGCTTCATAACACAGAGAAGGAAAGAGAGGAACAAGGGAGTCAGAAATGTATATTCATGATGCTGCTGTGTGTACGAGGGATGTTCATCTCTGTGCATGTGTGATTGTGTCTGCGAGCGTGCCATATGTGTGTCTGATTCACTGTTAGAGTGTGTTTGTGTTTGTGTGTGTGTGTGTGTGTGTGTGTGTGTGTGTGTGTGTGTGTGTGTGTGTGTGTGTGTGTGTCTGTGTGTCTGTGTGTGTCTGTGTGTGTGTGAGCAGGCCCCAGTGAGGCTGTCACAGCGGGCTGTGAGGGATGTCTCAGCATGGCTCCTGTCTAGTCTGAGTTTAGGAGGGAGGAGACGATATTAGCAGCTACAGGCTCACCGCCTTTCTCCAAGGAGCTCATCAGCCTCTTTTCTCGTACTCCTCCTTTTCTGCAGCTACGAAAATCAGCTTTTTGTAGCTCGACTTGCTGTGCATTTTTGAGTTTGTCCAACTGCATTTGAAAGGATTTGTTGATCCTGAGAGTGTGGTAGAATTTTCAGAAGCATGTAACCTTTAAGCTGAAGTGAAAACAAAGAGATAGTCAAGGTTTTCTTAAGAGGGAATGGGGATATATGCATTGGTTTATCAGTGTGCGCGCACACACACACACACACACACACACACACACACACACACACACACACACACACACACACACACACACACACAAACCCTGGGAGTAGTACATTTGCCACATTATATCATTGTAATATTAGACAGAATAGTTTGAGTAAAAATAACTTTTTGCTTTTCTAATTGTTGATTTTTTGTTGATATTGTTGTTTGTTTGGCCTGCAATGATTGATTTGAATATTTGCTGGTTTTCTTAGTTTATGATAGTTAATTGAATATATTTGGATTTTGGACTGTTGGTCAGATAAAGCTTGAAAATTGAATATCATATTTTCTGACATTTTATGGGCCAAACGATTAATCAGAAATAAAAATAAATGTTAGTGGCAGCCTTCATACACACACACAAACATGCAACATTAAATTATAACGTTAAATGGCAGCACAAAATGTGTTCAGCAGTTCAGACACAAACACAGCAGCAGATCTCCTAACTGAGAGTCCAGTAAGCTGTGTCACTGAAGCCCCCTGACAGATCAGCCACATAATAAAATCACAATATGATTTGATGTAAGACGGGCACAGATGTCGAATGTGACTCATGTTTTATGTCTTTCCATCTAATTGTGTTTCAGTATGAAGAGCTGGTGCACTACTCAGGGTCGGAGGGCATGTCGGTGGGGGGGTACGGGGACGATGTCAGGCCATTTCCTCCCCCACAGTATGGACCCACCATCCCCGACTCCCTCAAACACCACAAAGACCTGATCTATGGGTAAGCATGTGGGTGTTTGAAACCTTAGATGTGGTGGAAACAAGGATTTATGTAGCCTAGTATCAAATAGTTGTTTGAATTACATTTGCACTTTTAGCAGATTAACATACAGTACATATGTGTATATATATATATATATATATACACATACATATATATGTGCACTGAATATGAAAATACATGTGAAGTGTTTACAGCTGTCTGTCTCATGAATACTGTGCTATAAAGTTTCTTGTAACACCTTCTGTGAATGTATCGTATGTACACTATGTCAACTGTTACTGTGTTTATGTATAGTATGTTAACTGTGTGTGTGTGTCTGTGTGTGTGTGTGTGTGTGTGTGTGTGTGTGTGTCTGTGTGTGTGTGTGTGTATGCAGTCACCCACTGTTTCCACTGCTGGCCTTAGTGTTTGAAAAGTGCGAGCTCGCCACCTGCTCCCCCCGGGACTCCACCTCCCTCTCAGCCACCTCCCACCTCCCTGGCATGAGCAATCACAGCGACGTCTGCTCCTCCGAGTCCTTCAACGATGACATTGCCGCGTTCGCCAAGCAGGTGAGCAGCAGCCACAATAGCCGATCTTAGGGCAGACATCAATCAAAGTGTTTCAGATCTGTGATCATTTGTTTATTTTGTGTTGCAGATTCGTTCAGAGAAGCCAATATTTTCTTCCAATCCTGAGCTGGATAACTTGGTACGATGCACACTGAAGTCACACTAAAAGAACTAAATAACTTTTTTCACACATGCATTGTGGGATATGTGTCGATAATTAATGCACGTTCTCCTCTTTACAGATGATCCAGGCCATACAGGTTCTTCGCTTTCATTTGCTGGAGTTAGAGAAGGTTGGTGGGAGAGAAGCATGTTTTTATGTGAACTTATTTTAGTAAATCTTAATTTTAATGGACGATTTTTAATGGACACTGTGTGTTCAGGTGCTTTAAGGAAGGGCTTAGTCCACAACTATAATCTTACCCTGTTAAGATAACTAGTAGTTAACTAGTAAAACTAACAAGAAGATTGGCTATTTTTATATAGTTATTCTTAATACCTGCCAAAGAATCGGGCCGGATTTAGTCCCCTCAATCAATGAAACGAGGCGGTTGAAACACTAGCGCTGTTGTCCACAGGAGCTGCCAGAATCAATACAAAATTAAAGTTCCTTGTTGTTCCTTGTTAATACTTTAGTTATTATAATTACGCATTTGTTTAAAAGTTTCCAAACCACTTGTGTAGGGAAGGTTTAAGGGAATTTAAGTGTTTTAATTTGGAAAATTTGGTCAGGATGTGAAAGACATTAAAGGAAAGGTTCACAATTTTTTTATTTTAAAGGCCAGTATGAACCGGAGGATTGATTACAGCAAGCAAAAACTGCTTCAATATACATAAAAGCATGTGCATGTTGTTTTAAGAGAGACTTTAAGAGAGAATCCTTTAATGTTCACACTGCAGTGATAAGGAAGTGGTGCTAACAGTATGCACTGATGAATGTAAATCTGTTTTCCAAAGGTGCATGACCTGTGTGATAACTTCTGCCATCGCTACATCACTTGTCTGAAGGGCAAAATGCCCACAGACCTCATCATGGATGAACGGGAGGGTGGCTCAAAGTCTGACATGGAGGACTTCACTGGATCCTGCTCCAGTCTGTCAGAGCAGGTGAGACGAGCTTCCAAAGTACCATATATCAAACAGAGAGAGGCTCCACCATTCACCTATCCAGCTGCATGCACCGGATGTCTGAATAATGATGTGTTTCATGACTCCTTGTTCTCTCACCTGATGGGAATTCCCCATCGTCCCATCACTCTACCTCCAACTTCCTCTCTGGCTCTCTCTGTCCCTGCAGAATGCATCATGGTTACGGGAGCCAGATGAATGTGCCACTACTCCTCTGGGAACACCAGGCACCTGTGGCCTGCCTTCACTCAGCACAGCAGACAACTGTAGCGACACAGGTACATACTCTCTCACACACACACAGTGAAAACGCTGCACAGCAAAGACGCATGCAGGGAAACAAAGGTGTGAAAACAAACAACCTTCATACACAGCCTACCCTTTGTGCATAGCATATTATAATAAAGACACTAAATATGGACCTAAATTATATGCTTTAGGAAAAGAATGAAAAGTTACACATAAAATGGCAGCGAGACAGATCTAGGAAGTGTCGTTAAAAAATTTAATTACATTGGAAAATTATTTTAATTTGTTTGTTTTGCAGTAATTAACCTAGAATTAACTGTAAACTCAACTCAGTCCCTGGGCGGCGCTCTAGTGGCTCAACTGGTGGAGCTGGCACCCCATGTCCCAGAGCTGCAGTTCCCACGAGTGGCCCTCAAAAATATACATTGAAAACAAAAAAACTCAGTCCCTGAGATATAATACTGGATGTGCTGCATGTGGATTCTTGCAGGGGATGGTCTGGACGGAGGAATGGCGTCCCCCAGCACAGGAGAGGAGGACGATTCCGACAGAGACAGGAGGAACAACAAGAAGAGAGGGATCTTCCCCAAAGTGGCCACAAACATCATGAGAGCTTGGCTCTTCCAGCACCTGTCGGTGAGAGAACTTTTTCTTGCTCCTTTCACATCAAAGTTAAATTATTACACTTAAAAAAATACTAAAATCAGACGATAATTAAATCCAAACTGCAGAACAAGACAAAGAAAGCTTGTGTATAGCACCGCATGAGAGAATAATTACTGACAGAGAGGATTTAGCGTGAGGCAGAACGTCACCGACAAGAACAGACAGAGAGGGGAACTGAGTGTATAATGGAGGTCAATTAAATTAAATGAAAGATTGGGGGATTAAGTGATTATGTGAATATGCTCGCTATTCAATAACTGTGGAAGTGATAGAAATGGAGTGAGTAATTGTTGGTGAGGTAATTAGCTACTAAATGAGGCAGGTCAAATGTTGCTTCACTCCAATTATTACAGTATGTGTGTGTGTGTGTGTCTGTGTGTGTGTGTGTGTGTGTGTGTGTGTGTGTGTGTGTGTGTGTGTGGAGAGAGAGAGAGAGAGAGAGAGAGAGAGAGAGAACGTTTGCCAAGGTTGAAAATGTGAATTCAGATGGAGGGTCATCAGCAGAGAGAGATTACTTCACTGTAGATTAAAGCGGAGGTTACATTATGTCACCAGTAAACCTTGAGATTATTCTCTTGTTCACTCACAAGCATTCACTCACACATTTGTCCTCTCCCAGCACCCGTACCCGTCTGAGGAGCAGAAGAAGCAACTGGCACAGGACACAGGACTGACCATCTTACAGGTCAACAACTGGTCAGTGCACTCAATCAATACACTAATTCTGGCCCTGTGGCTTATCAATAATCAGTTAAACCGCATGTTTAAGTGCAGTGTCAACTTTCAATTTAACAGAATGGCTGTTGCCACATTGATTACATATTGGCGCGATATTTGGCTGCAATAATGAACAGTATCTATAGTTTACACCTCATTTAAGTCATATTTTTTGCTTAGTATCTCTTTATTGTGCCCATTTTGTACAAATAAATGTCAGTTAAATGTAAGGCTGCACTTTTGCAAGACTTTTAGAGAAGACTATAATCTACTTTATTAGAGAGAAGCTTGTAACAGAGTAAGAAATGTCCTACTAAGCATTTTCTTTCTGAAGCTGCAGCGCAGTAAAATCTATTTGCTCTATGTTCATAAAACAGAATAGCAAATCAATATCCAATAATCAGGTGGTTTACTGCACCGGAATTCCCCAGGCACACATGTATCTGCACAGGCAAAACACACACACACACACACACACACACACACGTTTCGATGTTTCTGATTCAATTATACGTTTCATAATGTGTTCAATTTCTGCACCTAAGATATTGATACAGAAACACACAAAAACTAAATATATTAACAGTAGATTCTGTAATCTGATAACTTGCATGTTTTTATTTGCAACCGTGCTGCAGCACACACACAGAGTGACCCGATCAATGCAGATCAATCAATTATCACAGGGCGATCAATACCTGCTCTGCCCTAACGTTGATTTACTCTGCCCTCTGAAAGGGTTAAGTGGTTGTAAAAGGGAAAAGGTTAATAGTCTCCTGGTCAGCCTTTTTCTCCATTAACGGGTGCCCTCGTCCATCTCTCTCTCTCTCTCTCTCTCTCTCTCTCTCTCTCTGTCTCTCTTTCTTTCTCTCTCTCTCTGTCTGAAAACACTCTTTCTTTATGTCTCTCTCCCCTGCACAGGTTCATCAATGCCAGGAGAAGAATAGTTCAGCCGATGATTGACCAGTCAAATCGCTCAGGTCTGTGTTTATAAGTCAGCTGGTCGGTCGCTAGGCAAACAACTCTGTCTATATGTGTGTTTGTGTGTGTTGTATATTTATGTCTGATGGTGTGTGTCATCTCACAGGTCAGGGTGGTCCCTACAGCCCAGAGGGAGCAGCTCTTGGGGGCTACGGTCTTGATGGACAGGCCCACCTCGGGCTCCGAACAGCAGGTACAGTAGTAGTACTGAATAGTCTATAGTACACCGGGTTAGGGCTGGCGATACAGTATGTATTTTTAATGTAAAAAAATACCATGAAAAGACCAAAACCAACAATTAACTGTATTGCGTGTGTATCAAAGCCTGATGTATCATATTCCTCTGTGCCATGTTGCACTGGCTGACATGTTCACACGCACACTGTAGTTTATTTTGACTCAGTCACACCGTCCTGAAATACTCACAAGAGCTCCAAATGTAGTTTAATCCGCAACTGGAAATAGTCCCCAACAAATGCACTATGTCCTCCCTTTTGTGTAATGTTTGCTGAAAATACAAGTAGCCAGATGTTTCTGGAAATCATGTTCAACTTTTTTTTTGAAAAAGAAAAGGAACAATTTGTTTTAAGATTTACCTCTCAAGTAAGAAAAAATGGGCTTGGGGCTGAGTGCCACAGACAGGCTGGGGAAATCGAAAGTATTAAGAGATGGACTGTTAGAGTTGCTGTTAGTTTTGCCTTTTCGTGGGATTTGATGACAATAAGAAAAATGTAGAGTATCAGCAGCCTCAACCTTTAAGTCCACTCAAGGAAAAATCACAAGTAGATCAAAAAACATAGTTACTCCTGACTACCAAGGAAAAAATGAATATGAGGAATATGAAGGGACAGAGTTGAACTAAGAAATCTTAAATAAAAAATAAGATATAAATATTTATACTCTGTTTAATCCTCACTGCACTTTTTCATTAAATACGATGAATATAAATATTTGTAAGCATTAGGAAAGAGTGACTCACACACTATTCAGTGATGTGTTAGAGGTGGTTTCCTCTGTTAGAGGTTGTTTCTGTACGGACTTCTAAAAGTCCACTATCTCTGTTTGACGTCATTTTAACATAATTTTGAACATTTTAATGATTGATTTTATCACCATGTTCAATTGCTTATGCTCGATCCGGAAACATTGTGTGGGAAGTTGTGGTCTGAAGCTTTATGTGAATAACCGAGCACCAAAAACCACATCAAAAGACTTGAACCTCTTATATTAATACATAACACTAGACAGTAAGTAAATCTACGATATTATTATGGGTTGTTTGATGCTATTAAAAAAACCCTAACAAGCAGCTGCTGCTCATGCTGTTCAGCCAAACATTGTTTAAAATCCACTGAGCTTTATTTTGAAATCTTGTTTTGAGATTTGAAAGTTTAAAAAAAACTACCAAATATATATACAAAGTCGAACAAGCTGGTACAGAACATACTGTGTATGCGATACAGTCAGACAGCGTGGAATAAGATGACTGTAACTCAGTGAACGCTACCTGAGGGAAACAAAGGAAGAAGACTATAGGTTATGTATCAGAAAAAGCCTGCTTATATTTTAAGTTATGATCCATTGAGAAAGACGAATTTCTTTCATCTCTAAGCTAAATAAATACATAAATGAATCCATTGTGGATTTTAGGTTTGATAACCATTTTCTTTGCAGAGTTTGTGGAGAACATGCAAAGTCTGTGCTCTTCAGTGTAGGCCATAATTTAGTAAAAGTGACTGATTAAGAAGAAAAACACCTTGTCCACTATTACCTACACACTTAACTATTGAATGGCAATGACAGTTGCTCAGTATTTATATATGTCAGTGGAGCCAAATGCTGAAAATATTCCCACTTTATCTACATTTAAAATTTAAACCAGTCCTCCGTGTCTCACAAGGTCTCCAGGGGATGTCTTCTCTGCAGGGTGACTACCCCGGCGCTCTACTCTCCCAACCAGGCTACCCGCCCCACCCGGGGCCCTCCCTCCATCCTTACCCGGGTCCACACCCCCACCCCGCCATGCTGCTCCACCCGCCGCCACACGCACACCCCGCAGAGCCGCTCCTCGCCCAGGGACTGGACATACATGCACACTAGCTGTTGGGGGAGCCGGAGTGTGTGTGTGCTAGGGCAAATTACTGTATGAATGTGTGTATGTGTGGTGAGATATAAGTGTGTGTGTGTGTGTGTGTGTGTGTGTGTGTGTGTGCGTGCGTGCGTGCGTGCGTGCGTGCGTGCGTGCGTGCGTGCGTGCGTGCGTGCGTGCGTGTGTGTGCGCTGCTGTGTATGTGTACTGACGCATACAGAACACTATTTAAAGAAAAAAAGACACATTGCTCCGAAAGTTTACATTCCCCACTGAAAGACACTGACCTCAATGTAGCTGTTCCACTCGCTAACACACACACACACACACACACACACACACACACACACACACACAGACATATACATTACACACACACAGTCTTGACCCACAGGTTTAAGCCATACCTCGTTCAGAGTAGAAGTGCTTCCTCCTCTCCAAATGTCTCCACTGTGTCCTGTGGGTTGAGACACATGCTTTAAAATACACTTCCCATCATGCCTGCTGAACCACAGGAAGATCAGATCGGAGGGACAGATGAACATTTATCCCCAGACTTTGCAACAGCACATGGACGTTACTGGATGGGACTTAATCCTGTGAACACGCCTTCTTCACTACTCCCTGTCTTCCTTCACACGTTGACTGTCAAACACAAAGCCACACCTCCACACACATTTTATTTAAAGCTGATTTGAGTTTTTTCTTATTCTATTTTTATATTTATGTGTGCCACTCCAGGCAGATGCAGCTTCACGTGAGCTTGTTGAAATATTAGTGCTCTTCCTCAGCATGAAGCTAAACACTATGAATGACTTCCAGTCTGCCTCGCTCTCGTACCACTGACCTCCTTAAGATGCCAACAGGTGTCCGTTACCTTAGGATCTTTCCTACACAAACAAACAACATACACACATAGCAACACACACTACACTGAAAGCCATTTCTACACACACACACACACACACACACACACACACACACACACACACACACACACACAATCTTCTGTAAGCATTTCTAGTACATTTTTTGTCTGTCAGAGCAGTGTGTGAGGGGAGCTGCAGCCAAAGGACTCTTGAAACATTTCGGCTCCCTCTCCACTATGCTCGGACTGCTGAAACATTTCTGAATGACGATGGGAAATACAGTTAAAGTATTAAAATGTTTTTTTGTAAGACTTGTCAGTGGTCATCTGTTTGCATATCTTTCTGGCCAGTTTATTGTTGATGCAGGAGGTGATAGATTTAAAGTTTCTGAGAGAGAAGTCTGTATGAATACATCGACATTTTGAGTGCGCAATGGATGAAAAACTGCACACTGCACAAACAAAAAACTTGCAAAATTACATTTTACTAAACACTAGAGACCTGATCCAGCAGGTGAATTAGAACCGAGATAACACACACAAAAAGTACATAAAAAGAGCATAAAAAATACATAAATCTTTAGAAATCTTCCAAAGTTTAAATTCATCCAATGAGATGAGACTCCCAAGTTTCAATGTGGTTTGAAATCCATTTGTTTTATATGGTTCAAAGTAGTGGAAGGCCAAGGGTATCAGGAGTCCTTGGATGAAATGTAGTTGTTTTAAGGTATAATGAGCAACATGAATACAGGGTATTTCTGTTGCAAAACACAGACGTGGTGGTTGAGTGTACAATGGAGTTTCTGTGCTCAAGTGAAAAACATGCTTTATTCTGATATGCATTAAGAGATCAATTTTTAACATGCCCAGGTGTTGATTTCTAAAAGACTGCAATCCCAGATATTTACAAGATTGACCAACTTCAGTGTCAGTACCAATATATGTATGGATGGCAGGAATATGTACTGTATGAGAATGTAGGGTTCTTGAGAATACATTTGGTTTTTATCAGCATTCAGTTCAAGTTGAGATTATGAGAATGTCTGAAGAAGGTTAAACACAGGCTTAGTTGGAGAAGAGAAATGCAAACAAGATTGCATCATCTGTATAACATTTTTTATAATTAGTTTTACAGTATTGTTTATGTAGATGTAATTAATAATGGACTGCGCACAGAACCCCGTGGTACACCCTTGGTTATTAAAAAGGAGGTGATGTGAGACCATCAGCACATCAATTTCATAAAGCATCTCACCTCCCACCTAACTTTGTCTTGACAGTAATCGATCCCACTGAGAAAATATTTCGGGTCCTTCATGACATGTTCTAAAGCTTGGAATACACAAAAGCCACTCACTTTTACAGGACCTTTTCTTGATATATAATGTAATCGTCCTCCTTTTTTCCGATGATAAGTCAAGTCACTACTCTGACTATCTATTTAACTCTGACAGAGGCCTCAGGCTGCAGCCACAGTGATCTGTCACACAGGCTGGATTATCACAAGGAGGAAAGAACTGCAATTATTTCTTATATGCTTCACAGCACAGACCAGAGCTCCTTGTGGTTTGTGTAGATCTTTTTCAGCCCTCACATAATTCTTCTCTACTTGTTTATCACCAAAATTAAGGATAATATCATGTGTCAACACTCAAAACGTAAATAACCTTTTGTATTTCCTCCTAACCTTTCCCCTCACAGCTCCTGATGTGCACGTCCTATCCGTAACCTTTACCTCTTCTCTGAACTATATCCTTTAAGCCTACATCCACCCACAGTAGCCCAAATACACAACAAACACTGAATACCCCCCCCCCATTCGGCCTGGAGCAGGAGGGGGGTCAGGGGCCAGAGTGCAAACAGAGGTCAACAGGAAATGGCTGTTCTCCCTGGCACCCAGGTCCTGACCTCCACTTTTCATTTCTCTTTGTCACTCCACACATTCACTCCTAGGACATGTTGGTCAGTATTGGCCCCTCACTTTTACTTTGTCACCTCTCCACCTCTCTCTTTTTCACAACATGTAACATGTCTTGTAAAACAGTAAAACAACTTTTGTTTCAATCTAAAACCATCTGAAGATTGGAAGGTGAATTTGGGTTTACCACAAAGCTCTTCGTGGGAAAAGATATTAATTTAGATTTTTCATGACATGATAAAATGAATAAACACTAATTCCTCAAGTTACAAATGGGATTATATGTCAGATTAGACACACTGTCCATAATTCATGTTGAGCATGTTGTTTTGGACCAATATTCTGCCATCTGCTTTAAACACTGGTCACGTAAAATCTTTCCTCAGACCAGAAAAGACAAAGACAATAGGGAAAAATGTATATACTCTACAACTTCATTTAAAAGCAGGTTCCCAATTAGATAGAGGTCCCTTCATCAGACTGGTGTGGCTACACATTTTGACAAATAAACACGTCTCAGTTAGACACCTGGTCTGGATTTTATAGAAATTATTTGGATGTATAAAACCTCTTCAAACCCACCGGCCTGCTTATTTAGATTGCCTGCATAAATATAAATGTTGAAACTTTTGTCAATATCGACTTGCTACATATCGTTAGATCGGTTAGATTCTCCACAATTCAATTGCTCAGTTTATGTTTGCAGAAACCATGAGCACCAAAGTATCAAATGATCAAATGAATGATAAAGGATTGTAATTGATATGTAGGTAATATTCATACAATTTGAAAGTATTTCCCATCTTTACTGCAAGGGTTTTGTGCGAAAGGAATAAAATGCCTATCCCATATAGACGCCTATTCCAAATAAAGACAGGTTGAGTTCAGTGATCATAGCAAATAAAAACCGAGGTTATTCATTTAGGTTTTATGATAAATTCTAGTGACTTTCTTTGTGAAACATTATAATATATAGAAAAGTAATTTTCAACTTCTATTTTAATTTCCTATTTACTTACCTTGAGCCTATTTAATGAATATGCTTTTATGTTAAACCAACCAAAAGTCTAGAGCTGTGAGGATGTAGCCTACATCTACTGAATAGTAACAGCAGCATGCTAACAATGTGCACAATGGAAATGCTAACATGCTGATGTCATTAAAAACTCATCCTAAGGGGAACATAAATGTCTGAACAAAATTTCACAACAATCGATCTAATAATAGTCAAAACATTTCGCCCAATATCACAAATGTTAATCTCATGTTTCATGTTGATTGATACATCACTATCAGATTTCTTTAACTTTCAAATATCGCAACTACCTTCCAGAAATTTAAGGAAATTCAGGAAATGTTTTGATGAACGTATCTGCCAGGTTTCAAAATGTTTATCCTCAATGTATCTTAAAATGTTCACTGACAACGTACACGCTTTGTTTTCCGACTATATCTATTTGTACTGCAACAGCATTATTAAACTATTTTATGGTTCTGTTCAGGCACTCGTAGCACTAGGTTTAGGAGTCCGTAGTCAGTATCAACCTTACAAATCCAGAATCAGTCATCTTCTTCATATGTAGAAATTCTAATTCCTACAACAGCTGAACCTGATCTACTGTATAACGTATCTAATGTCTAATGTATGAATATCACCACTCTTCAAAGTTTTTGATCCTAAAATGTATAATCCTGCAGCATCACAGCTCAGGCAGGGATCTAAGCAGAAAAATCAACAACACATACTTTATTCATACATCAGTGTTCAGCCCTCACTCGCACAGTATAATTCATAGTCATAGCTTCAGTTTATGATTGGCTCAGATAGATTTCTCTCTCACCAACACAGACTCCATTAGATGGTGGGAATTAGACTGCATAAAATCTGTTGACTTCATGTTGACAAATGAAGAGGAGAGAGGAGAAGGGAGGGAGAAAGTGCTTGAATGCATTTATGTGCATTGTGTTTCAATGTTTGTGTCGTTAGAAGAGAATATAGCATAGGGAGGTAGAGTGAGTCGTACTGCAGCTACAACTTCACAAATCAGAGGGGTAAGGTCTTGGCTGAGTTTAGAGAAAATGACTGAATAACACATTTTTGTGGGAAATGTGTTTCATAAAATTCACACCGGTTGATACATTTTGTTAAAATGACAAAAGTGTGATTGTCGTTTCGAATGAGCTCCACTGCAGCACTTGTACAATGCTGGCCACATGGTGCATGATGTCTTCATATATATTGCATTCAGTGTATTGGCTACACTCCCTATAATGTCTCCATCATTTCAGAGTCCTACTGGTTTGAATTTGACCATTTGGGCTATTGAAGCAAAATGAATACACGTGTGTAATGTGAACATGTGCACGCCTGCGTGTGTCAGCGCATGAATATGTGTGTGCATAAATATGTACAATTTCATTTTAGCATAAAGTGTGTGTCTGTGTGTGTGTGTGTGGGGGGGGGTTCTGTGGTGGTCATTAATCATTCAATTACACACCTGTCAGAGTTCAGACAAGTGGGAGAGAGGGAGGGGCAGAAGGGTGGGGGGAGGGAGGGGGTAAAAGAGAGGGAGGGGGAGAGAAAGAGAAAGGAATGGAGGAATGCTGCAGGGAAAGGAGGAAGAGCATAGAGGAGCTGAATGACAGGGAGAGGGAATGAAAAAAGGAGCAGGAGGGTTAAAAAGAGAAAGAGAAAGTTTTATTGTGTTGTAGTGTGTGAACGAGCTGTGACAGAGGCAAGCTGCTGTATAGTGACAGCCTCCGAGAGGCCACAGTAAAGACAAAAACAACTTTATATATTATAGCGGAAGAGTGACAGATGAGGACAAGGCAGGCCAGCACAGTAAAGACTCACCAAACTGATTTAAGAGAATCACTGAGCTTCAAGTGAAGCAGTGCAAGGCATCTTAGGGTCATTTTAAGCAAAATGTGAGTGTATGTATATTGGTTTTTAAAACCAAGCAATCGAATATGGCAAAAAAGTAAAAAGTTTAGTAAAAGTTTAATATGACATACAAAAGCAAATTTAATTTTGTTGTTTTATGTCTAACGTGTTTGTTATGTTTACATTTATTAACATTATCAGAACGCTCACACTGCAGTTAATTAAAAAACTAAATAGTCATCACAGTTTTCTTTGTGTGTGTTTGTGTCTGTGTCTAATGTAATAATACTAATAGTATTATACTCCCTGTATTACTCATATAAACTTCACAGTACGATACAAGACCAGTAGTGGTGGAACGAGTTTTCAAGTACTTTCTTTACCTAGGTCATTTTCTTCTTTACTGAAGCAATACTGCTGTATGAAAGACGTACATAGGTATTATTGTATACCTCAGAAGTAAAAAATATTCATAATTCAGGAAAATTAGTGTTATTCTTTTAGATATTACACTATAATACTGGATTATCATTACAGATGCATTAATGGGTAAACAGCATTTTTTAAACAAAAATCTGCAAATTATTATATTATTTTTTTAATTTCTTTATTTACTCACACTGATATGGATGTTAAGAAATAATGTCACTGTATGTTTGTACTGTGTAGGGGACTTTGTCTCCTATTGCTCCTTCTATACAGTATATGTTTAAGTGTTTGTATATGTGAGCACCCCCTCACACTTAATCTTCTGTGTGTGTGTGTGTGTGTGTGTGTGTGTGTGTGTGTGTGTGTGTGTGTGTGTGTTGCAGTCTCCATGTTGAGCTGCAGTACCTCAACTGCCTGAGGCCGCAGCAGCCATCTGTGCCCCCCCCATTTCACATACACACAAATACACACACTCCTCTTCTCTTCTCCGTGGACCCCCTCCTCCACTGCCGCCACCGCTGCCATATATCTAATTTATGGCCGTGGTGAGTGCGTTACACACACTCATGTATGCATAATATATCACATGTGTGAAAGAACTGTGTGTGAGAGAACGAGTGTGCGACCCTATGTATCGGCCAGTATAGTCTTGACCACAACTCCTTCCTCAGTGCTTCCCTAAATTTTGCTCTGTGTGTGTATGTGTGTGACACAATAAATGTGCGATCCAGCATGTATCTCTGTGTTTCTTTCTCGGTCTTCCACCAGATCTGACAGCACTGATAAAGTGTGAAAAGAGAAAGGGAATGTGTGTGTGTGTGTGTGTGTGTGTGTGTGTGTGTGTGTGTGTGTGTGTGTGTGTGTGTGTGTGTGTGTGTGTGTGTGTGTGTAAAGGCCCAGCTGTTTCTGGGCTTGACATCCACATGCAGGCAGAATGCCAGATGTCTCATTAGGCAAATTTGATTGGCTCGGTCATTTCGAATGCAGAGATGATACGGTTCCATATGTGTGTGTACATGAAGCTCTCTGTGTGTGTGTGTATGTGTGTGTGTGTGTGTGTACATTTACATAAGAGGCCGGTATAACTATTTACATGTGTACACGCCTGATGTATGTGCATTCATTAACTGTTCCACAATATCCACATAAGTATATAAAATCAATATAGTAGGAGCTGTACTGGAAATTACAAGAAAATGACTAATCAGGTAAAATAGAGGAAATGGGAAGTGGTTGCTCCTTTATTTCCTACAAACACTTCAACTGCTGCTTAAATTCTAGTCTACAGCTGATTAAAGGTCCACTGTGTAGGATTTAATGGCATCAACTGGTGAAGTTTCAGACTAACTGAACACCGCTCGCATCTGCATCTGATGACCTGCCTCCATCTGCATTTTCGCTTGGGTATGGGTGTTCATTTAAAACCTTATTCTTACATTTATATACCTTATATATTTACTTCATGTATTTATAGTTATATGGATTGACTTTTAATGGCCCTTTAAATGCCCATCCCTAATACTTACACTTGAACTGCAACTTAAAATTGTTAACCTTGAACCTTCAACTAATAAATGCTTATTTTTATTCACCTCTTTGTTAAATTTGTTTAAGCATTTCATCTTTATCTGGAACTTCAATCTACTGCTTCAGTGTCTTCTGCTTGTTCAACTCCTTCCGTTGCTTTCACTCACACTTCAATTATTTCATTACTTTAATTATTTAATTACAAAACCTCAAACCTCAACTGTGATTTATACAGCATCTTACTTACAAGAAATTCAGTTCAAAATGCTTTTCAAAAAGAAAAGGAACAAAGAAAAGATCAGACAATTTAATAATAGATAAAGTGTTACAATACATTTAAATAGAGGAATACAATAATAAACATGCAGCAGCCTTTACAGTATGTGTTTGAAAATTAGCTACTACTCTTAATGCTCAAATACTTAAACTGATTTAACTTAACTTAATTTCTTTAACCTCAGCTCACTGCAACACCTTTAAACATCCAGTGTGTTACATTTAGGAGGATTGGCATAAATCAAATATAATATTCATAGGTATGTTTTCAGTAGTGTATAATCACCTGAAAATAACAATAGTTGTGTTGTTGTTACCTTAGAATGAGCTGACGCCACAGGTTGCCTTCTATGGAGGCCGCCATGTTTCTATAGTAGCCCAGAACGGACAAACCAAACACTGGCTCTAGATAGGGCCGTTTGTGTTTTTCGTGCATTTCGTGGCCACTGTAGTATCTCCACTTTTCTCTCACACTTGAAAAGTGAGGGTGAAGTGAGTGAGTTGCAATCTGCAACTACTATTGTGCCACTAAAACCTACACACTGGACCTTTAAAATCTTTAATTCTGTCCTCTTCACTTCCTCAAATTCTTTACACTTCATCTGTCATTTCAAACTCTATGAGTGCTGACTTGAGGAACTTTTAAGTGCTTCAACCTCAACTGCTTGTTGACCTGTCTCACTGTGACATTTTCTCAGCATTTTTGAAAAAAACAAATCCAGATTTTATTCTTTTTTTCTTTGTTTGTTTAACATATTCCACTGTAAAAACAGCACTACCTTACTCCATCGTTTAAAAATCCAACCTGTGCAAATTGTAAATAAAAGAGGATATAAGCTGTACATCTCACAGGAGGTTTAATGCTGCCATCTAGTGGTCCAAAGGGAAGACAGATATTTATGTGTTCTGGGATTTCTTGTGAGGCTGTAAGTGACTTTGTAAAGTCCTGATGAACTTTTGGTTCATAAATAAACTGACAAAGAAGGAACAGTCCATTTAATAAAAAGCAAAGGCTCAAGGTTCAGTTCAGCAGCATTATATTCAGTGATGGTGAATAAGAAGAAGAGCTTCACTGAGTTAGAGAAGAACAGAAACAACACCAAGGACATGCCCTATCAGTAAAAGGCTTTATAGCATTTTATGGGTACTATGACATCAGGCAAAGAAGGTGACAATTATTTAAAGCTTTTTTTATTGATTTTTTTGGCTACTTTGGGGGCAGAAGTCCACATCTAGCAGAGGAGACACACCTATCTCATAATTAATGTTTTATGAGTAATACGTTAGCAAACAACTGCACATCTGGCAGACACAGAGTAGCATTATCATTCAGACGTGTTACTGTCCATCTGATGAATGTAATTCCAATATTCACTCTCCTTTTAGCTATGTCTTGGTCCCCACCAACTCCTGAGGGAAAAATCTGGCTCTTCAGCTGCTAAATGCTCCACTGTGTTCACCAGCTGGAAGCTGTGTCTGTTTGTCTGATTTTTCTGCCGAGAAGCTTTTTCGGGGGTTGATGAGAGCAGTGAAGTTGAGCCTGTTGACTTTGTCTGCTTATTTAACAGCACAGCGTGTTGTGTTAAATTACCCTCTGCAGTACTAATACACAAGAGACACATTGGTATTGATAAGAGCAGAAGCCAGCCGTATGAGCAAAACAGTTTTATTAATTTAATCTTTCAACACATTGTTACTTTAATATTAATAGATAAAAAAAAAGACATACGTTTAAATTAATCAAGTTAAAGAATTCCATCTCATACAAAATTGAATAGCCACAATAAATGAACTATCTTTATAAGGTGACAGACCTCCCGCATCAAATAACTTCTACTGTAAGCTTGCTTATGTTTACCACATTTCTGAGGAAAAGGTGGATAGACGCCTGGTGACTGGCAATATATTATTAATTGATCAATGTGATCAATTATCAGATGTAAGACAAAGTATAAGTCCATTGATATAAATGAACAAATGTCAACATTTTTATAAACTTTTCTCTTCTTTATAATATAACTATGACATTTAATCTGTACTAACTTAAGCCAGTGTTTCCAAACCTTTTTCGCTCATGATCGATTCAAATGAAGGAGACTTGACTTGTACCAGGTTTGAAGTAAAGAAACAGTTCCTTAACATTTATCTTAGGACCCTTGGAGGAGTCACACCCCCCAGGTTGGAAACGACTAACTCAGGCCTCAGTATAGTACCACAACTACAGTGTGTTAATGACACAAATGAAAAGCTTTGGCCTCTATAGAGGAGGAAACTGAGCAAGGCGGGACATGCTGTTGGTTTATGTGGCAGCTTATGGGACGGTTTGAGCATTTTTTCGGTAATATGACTGTCTAAATGGCCTTAAAATGTGTGGCTGACAGGTGGCCACTCAGGTCAGTTCTTCTTCTCTCCATTGCAACCCCCTGTGGTCCTCTTCTCCTGCTGCACATAGAGTCAGTCTCTCTTCCTGTTTGCTCCTTATCACGTCTTGCTGATTACAGTCTGGTGCTGGAATGGACGTCTGTGATTCGTCCTCAGCTCCTTGTTCTCCGCTGGTCTCTTCCTTCAGCAGCTGAGGAGCCTCTGTGGTGCTTTCTGTCTGCTGCTGTGACTCATCAACATTAACAGAATCAGATTCTTTCACACTTTCCTCTTTACTCCCAGTTTCTGTCTCAGAGTTCTGCGAACCCCGGTCCCGACATGGCTGCCTGCGAATGGTCCGTCTGTGCTTGCTGCGACGCGATTGGTTGCAGTGCAGGGTGCGCCTGCGATGCCATTGGTTAAGAGAGTGTTGGGCTTCGACACTGAGCTGACGAGCAGCCAATCGTGGCTGGAAGCTGCTGATGTAGTAAAGAGAGGCGTATAAAGTTGTAAGGTAGTAGCCACCTGTGGGGATGCAGAAATGAAGAAGGTGTGAGATTTGTACTGCCTGTCACCTGGCCTGATTCGATATGTATGGAAGGTAAGGTATAATATGTTTTATTTGCACATGCATACATAGAGAAATATGTGTGTTTTGGAGTTAGTAGTATTCATGCAGGTTAGATTGTATGTGCCTTACCCTCTCCCTGTAGCTGTGTGGGGTCCAGTAGCTCCATCATGTAGTCTGTGTCCAGCTGTAAGGTGACCACATTACTACGGAGCAGTACCCATGTCAGGCAGGGCAGGAAATCATCTGCTCCAAACACAGTACCTGCTGGAGAGGAGAGGAGAGAAGAGGAGAGGAGAGGAGAATGTGGATTTTATTTGACACAGCTGGACACAGGTAGAGTTATAGAAGTCATAATAATAAAGAACTGCCTGGCTACCTGAGCTCGCATTAGCACTCATGCTGTGATAGATGCTTTTGCAGACTTTGAGCAGGATCTGGACTTTCTTGTTCGGGGAGTAGGCCTCGTGCATACTAGTCCACCTCTGCTGTATCCGCTCCAGGATAACAGAGTCAGGAACTCCAACTCCCGCCGAGCCCCCTAGCTCCTCCATCCCTTTCTTTTCTAGCACACGCAGGTTGCTCTGGAGGCGCTGGAAGGTGCCATCTTCGGTCCGGGATGCATGAATGCATGAGTAGAGGTGTGCAGAGACAGGCTTCAGACCCACCTTGTGGAGGGAAAGCTCTACCAGGGCGTCTACGGAGGGTCAAAAGGTATGTGAGGAGAAATTAGAGGAGCACTAAACACTGATCTACTGAGTTGCAAGGTAATAACACGTTCTGTCAATTCTGTTAACACACACTTTATTGAAATGTAAATCTTTATTAGAAACTTCACAGTCAGCTCACTCACCGATCTCTGAGTCATTTAAGTCACTAATGCTGTCCAACAATGCCTGGATTTCTGGATAGTCCAACAGTGTCTCCCTCAGTGACGTGAGCGATAACCTGACTTCCTGTAAGAACTCTGACCCCCTGACTCCACCGGGTTCAGCCCCTTTCTTCAGTGTCATCTCCACAAATCCTTTCACAGCTTCTGCAAACGCCCCACCTTTACGGTCACTCAACTCTTGCACACGATTGGTAAGTCTTTTCTTCTGACTTACCAGCCCACCGAGAGCCTGACCCACCGCTGAGAGCCGATTTATGACCTTATCAGCCAACCTGTGTGCAGACGGGTGGTGCAGGTTAGGGCTCTGCACTTGCAACTCCTGCTCTTCCTCTATGCTGCTGATCGACAGAGAGTCCAGCTCCAGCGACGGGGGCTGGAGCAAAGAGGAGGGCCTCGGTGGGGGCAACCAGACTCCATCTTCAATCCAGGACACCCTGTGAGGGGACTGAGGTATGGGGCTGCCATGGTGCTGCAGCTCAAACGATGTGCTATTTAAACCTCCAGGGGTGGATGGAGTAGATGAAGGAATGCTCCCCGTGCTCTCTCTGTGAGGGGGGCTGGAGCCAGAATCTCTGCTGGGCCTTCTTAGAACCACTCCTGCTGGAGCAGCTGGTGTTGACTGGGTTGGGGGGCATTGTGGTGAATCAGCTGACTTGGCTCTGATAAGACCTGGACAAGGAAAACACCAAGTTGGCAATAAATTCGACCGAACCAAATAAAGCACTTCACACTATGGAGTATACACACTGAGGGACCCACTTTTACTATAATCAAAATAGATATGATAGAGTCACAAGTCCTCACCAGAGCTCTCCATACTGGCAGCAGAGGAATCCTGGTCCAATGAGATGGCTCGTTTACTTTGTAACCCCGCCCCTGACCATGTTCTGGTGGTGCTGAGGCGTCGCTCTCGTCTGTAATTGGACGGCTGTGCGCCGCGCTGTATAGCAGTTGCCTTGTGGGTCAGCCACTCATCTCCATGTTCACGAAGGTAGAGGGGATTGATTATACACAGTGCCCCGTTGGTGGAAGTCAGCTAACGAAACACACACACAAACACAGTGACAAACAAGAATGGCGTGACACACTGTACATCATAATGAAGGCATGAAATAAGCAAACAGTCTTCTGTTAACGAATCCAGTAGATACAGAGCTACATCAGCATTCATTGTGATTACTAGTCCAATATTCAATCTCCTTTTGGGTCTGCTTTCAGCCAACTCCAAGAAGAATATCTTGCCCTTTAGCTGCTAATTGCTCCAATATTTTCACTAAAGACAAAGCTAGTCACTAACTTTGTCTGGATGCAAGCCTGCCTTTTTGTGCTGGGCAGGCTGAAAAAGACGCTCGTAAGGGCGGAGTATGTGGGCCAAAAAAACAATAAAAGAGGCTCAAATGTTTCATAGAGAAGAGTTGATGAATCTCTTTCATATTACACATAGTCATTTGATCCATTGCTAACATAAAAATATTGATGATTGGACCTGTGGCCCTTTGCTGCGCATCATCCCCTCTCTCTCCACCCACCTTTACAGTCTATCCACAGCTGTCTCTATCAATAAAGCCAACAAAAAGCCAAAAAAAAAAACTAAAAAAGAAAGTTGTTTCCCTTTTGAGCACACACCCTTACCATCACATGTACTTTTACACACTTGTACACACACACATGCACACAGATTATATACCTGTATGGAGCACATTACGTTGCTTGGCTCCCTGTGGGCCATATCATCAGTCTGTTGGTCAGGCGGTGTGCAGAGCCACGTATCTGCATTAGAAAGGTGTTATAAATACATCACTTCTTAAGAAATATCTGTCTGGTTTTGTGTTTGTGATGTAGCTTCTGGGAGAGGATGTGAGACAGAAAGCCACAGAGTTTGAAGCACTCACTGGGCTCAAGTTGAGAGAGGCGGTCTCTTTCCTTCTCAGTTACACTGTAGATCCAGTGAGGAATGTAAAGACAAACGGCTAACACATCCCTGACACAGAGGAAGAGATGACAGTGATAAAATAAATGTGTTAACCAGACAGAGTCAAGAGGTTTGCACTGACCTTGAAATGGCCACAGTTCTGTCAAAGTACATTCATTTGCACATACAGATAATCAACAATGTTTTAGTCATGCGTTAATGTTTACTGAGGGCTTACATATATCACCCAAGTTTAAAGCTCAGTCATACACAACAAATGAAAACGGCATTCTCACCTGGTCAGAGAGTAGAAGAGCACGAGCTGAGCCAAGTCAGAGAAGGAAAGACGAGACTCAGACAGTTGGAAGACTGACAGAGAAACAGAGAAAGAGTGGGCAGGATTACTGTCATATTCTGTCAAAAAACACATTCTTGGAAACACACAGAAGTATGAACGAGGAAGGTCAAAGGGGGGACTTCCAGAGATAAGCCACTGTGACCATTTCACCACTTTTATATTCATACTAACTTCACTTGCTAATAAGTCTGTTATTTTCTGATACCACATGTTTTCTTTTTTTAGTGTCAGAAGGGTCACTTCAGCTTGTGATTTTACCTGTGCTTCATGCATCTGCAGCACTAACAGGTGTGGATCTAATCCAATCTAACAGAAAACAAGTTCAAAGTTTAAGGAACCAGAATTTACAGTTTGAGAGCGACCACGACGTGTGTGTCGTAATACCTTCCTCTCACCTGTAACAACTTTGCCAGGTTTGTACCATTCGTGCACTCAAGTTCAACAGCAGAAAGTTTAACTACTGAACATACAACAAAGTGACAACATACTGAATCACACACACACACACACACACACACACACACACACACACACACACACACACACACCAAAGAGTAAGAAAAAGAAGTATGTGTTTTGCATGCGGTACGTCCATACCTGTGCCAGTGCTTTTGATATCATAGTCAAGAACTGCTTCATTCTCCCCTCCAGCAGACACACACAGCAGGCTCGGCTGGGACGTTGCAGAGTCCTGAACAACCAGGAAACTCTGGAGGGAGACATACAGTGACTCATGTCAATGTCTCAAGTGTTACGTAAGCTTGTTGAGCAGGAAAAAAGTTTTCTCTTAAATGTTCACAGTGGTAAATGTATGTGGCTCCATGGCAATCACGCAGCAAAGGAGGGAAACACTGAGGACATCATAAATAAAAATCCAGTGTTCCTATGACAGGACAGGGTCGATTTTACCTTAAAAATCAGTCATGATTACAGGTTGTAACCAAAGTGAAAGTCATGTAAACAGCAAGTTTCCCAGGGTTCATGAGTGCCTACTCATAAAGCTGATATGACTCATAAAGGCCTGACTGACGCAGCTCTGCAGACATAGTTGATCATTCCTCAATTATTAAAAAATAATCAAATTCTAAAAAAAATATTTTTTTCTCTATCTCATCTTCTTTCTATGAATAATGATGTGCTACACAAGCAATACAATTGTTGACAAAGTTAGAACAGTTTTGGCCATTTCTATTTTTTTTTTTTGTCTGAAGTAGGTGGGCTCAGTTGGAAAAAGATGATGTCACATTTTCCATGCACCAATCACAGTTCAGAAAGATTTGAATTGGTTAGATGACTATAAGTAGGTGGTGTCCTTGTGCTGCCATATTTTTTTTTTTTTAAATTTTAGATAAGATATAAAAAAACGTAATTTCAACAATCAAAATTGTAATAGCAGTTGCTTTTTTACACTGGTAACTGTGCTATAACTGTACAGATGTTCTGCTGGCACAGACTTGAGGTCTGATCACATTGCCTTCTTTGGAAACAGTGGCAGAAAATTTAATAGGCAGTTAACGTTAAAGTTATTAACTTTGCACATGTAATCCCAAGTACAACGTCTCAGTCATGTAGTTACATCACCACAACTGAATTCAGAGTAGCTCTCACCAGCACGCAATAATACACACACAGAGGAAGTGGCTTTCATGTTTGATGTGCACAGAAATACAGAAGTTCACTGCAAGTCAACTTCAAATACACGGACGAGCAGCAGGGTAGCAGAGATATTACATGTAAAATATACTGTTGATTCATAACGGCAACTTTTAGTCACTCATGCGTTTAACTCGTAGGAAGACATACTGGAAACTATTCAAGTGGAAAGAGCACTTTTTTTGGTTATTTAATGTTTATAAAACTGAGAGTTTCTACAGTAAAAAAAAAAAACCCTAATGAAATGAAATACTCATAAATTCCAAATACTCACATGTTGTTTGCTGCCAGTAAGAGTTTTGTATTTCAAATAACAAACAAGTCCTCTGTGGTGCTCACAATATCACTTTGTCGCATGCGTATCCATTTTGTAATGTCATCTCCCTGATATGCACACAATTTTATTCAACACTACTTCTGCATCCAGCCCCAAAAGAAGTGTTTGCTCATATCAGATGTCAACTAGAAAAAGGAACTACTTTCGTGTCACAGTGATGTGCAAGTCAGTGTTCAGTCAGGCTAAGAATACTTCTGCTGTGAAAGGTTCAGTGAAGCATACGGACATCCCTACATGCATGTGCGCTTTCCTTGTTTGAGACCCAGCTTAAAGATAGTTTCATATAACATTAGATAGGTGAGAGGGAGCAAGAGATGATCAGCCATGCAGAGAGATGGGGAAAGTAGAAAGACTGATCAGAAATGGAGCTAAATGGACACCTAATTTACCTAAATCCCCCTTCCTCTGTCTCTCAAATTTGCTTAAAAGACAGGAAGATGTTTCTGTAAAAAAAAAAAAAATAGGGGGCAGAGAAAGAAGACTATAAGTAATTAAAAAGTTCTTTCACCCCTTGTTTGTTGTACAATATGGCAAAATATAACAAATGGAGACAGTGGATAAAGTCCGAGACCACTGGCCCATTTAGGATCAGATGTTTAAATTTTAGGGTTCCACTTTTTGGATAATCGACCTACAGTTTCCTACAGTATTTGTGACATTTCAACAGCTTATTAGTTTAGATTTAACAATTCAGCTGTTTCACAAATAATGGTTGGGTTAAGTTTAGGCACAAAAAACATCTTAGTTAGGGTATGTTCATGAATTGTTATATATAATCTGTAAAACATCTACAGACAAAGCAGTGGTTACAAGCTCAAACTAATCTGCAGGCAGACTATCTAAATAAAGTTAATGGCGGTGATATAGAGTATTTTTGTAATAACAATACTGTATGCTTCAGGCATTGCGTTAAAAACATAAACCACATGATTTCAGCTTTCATATAAATTCATATTCCATTCTCTAATCAATTCATCTCACATATTTTTAAGTTCAAAGGGCATTTTAAAAGTTTGTAAATAATTTGGCAGTGTGGATCAGTGACCGATTTTACTATAAAATCTCTAAACAAGTAAAACGGCATCAGGAGTAATTCACCATCATACTGAAGACTTGTTGTTACATTACATAATGAAGGTCAGACTCCCTGATTGATTGATTTTTTGCAGTGAGGAGGAGGACAGCTCACCCCAGCAGGTGCTCCACAGATAGCAGCGTGGGCCCCCTCCCTATCCCAGGGTGACCCGGGGCACCAGGCCTTCTGACAGCCCTTCAGCTGCTCTAGCAGCGACAGTCTACTCCTGCTCCTCCATGGGATGGCTGTGGTCCCATTGACTGAACTGTGAACCGCCCTGGACACAGACATATGGACACGTTTATGTGCATGTGTAACCGTCTGCATGCACATAAACAACAGATTAGTGTGTTAAGTCACATGTGGACAACAAAACAATTTAAACACTGCTGATTTCCTCTAAGACAGACAAAATGAAGTATACAATTCAGATTTTTTTTTGTGGAGGTTTTGAGTTTTATGCAAGATTTGAACATTCATTTTCAATAATCAGACACAAAAGGGAAAAAATGACTTAAAGTCAAGCTTATTGATGGTATAAAAATGGTTGAAACTTACATGTGTCGGTCACTTCATGTATCTTCTCTCCTTCACACTATTAGCACACTCCGCATGTTGCAATCTTCTCTCTCTTGAATCCTTCCTTTCTGAACGGTACAAAATGTTGCTCAAGAGCTCAAAATACCAACATAGCTAAAAAAAGGAAGCTCACATAACATCCTCAAGACATTTCCTGGTGTGATGTGCAGAATATGTTGTGTTTCAAAATGCAAGTAACGTCGTACGGCTGCCACGTTTGTCTTCTTCTGTCAACGGCACATGCTGGCATTTAATGCACTTTCAATGTGAAACTGTTCAGCTGATCTTTCATCAAGGCACCTTCTTCGCCCTCCCCTCCCCTGAGTTCTGCATGTGGTTAACCCAGCTCAAAGTCAAAATAGACATCTTGTTCTCTAAAGAGCTAGGTGTACCTATATTTTCTCTCTGCAGCACTCTTTCTGTGTTCTGCTCAGAAATGATGAATGGTAAAAACTGAACAGTTGTCCTGAAAATGATCACAACTGTGTATCGCTGACAGATTTGATCTTGCTGCTGTTGGAGAAATGCAAACACTTGATGCAAACACCCAGATCTGAATCTGAAGTTAGAAATATTAATAAACTATTAAATATGTTCGTGTCTGTTTTATCTCATGTGCATACAGGTTGGTTTGCTAACTGTCCAACAGTTCTGCCTCTCACGGAAACCGCGGCTAGAGGTGTCCGTGGCGAGAAGACTCACGGTCTTCCGTTTACAATATGCATATCACACTTTCTGTTTAAAGCATTTCCTGCCATGATCACTATGATCTGTATAGTGCAATGGCAATGACCTGCTTTTTATAAACATTCTTAACCAGTGTAGGAGCCATACAATGCTCTAATGGTATGGCTCTATGGACAGCAATGGTATGCCAGCCGACCGGCCTGTCGTCCTGCCACTTTGGTCTACCCAGAAATATTTCAACAACTATTAGATAGACAATTCAACAGATTCATGTTCTCAGACATACTGACTCTGGTGATCCTCTGAATGTTTCCCCACACTAAAATAAGGGAATCATTTGTGGTTTATAGTGTAGTGGCTTAAAACTATTTGATGGATTGTCATCAAATTTGGCAGTCCATGTTCCTTTTAGGCAGCTGGATTCACAACATCACACAAGAATCCATTTTGCCTGGGTTCAAACTGTCACCAATGGCAGCTGCTGAAGAGGTTAGCGTAGATGCTGCAAGTATCAGCTACATCAGAACTGGAGAATATTTTAGTACTGAAAGAAGAGCAAACAACGACATTGAAGGCTTTTCTCGACGGAAGGCACGTTTTTATTCTTCTCTCAACTGGCTTACTGGTTCGTTGGATTGGCTGAAGTTAGCCTGTGATAGGGACAGACAGATGGTTCATCCAATCACCTGCCAAGGAAAACTTCCAAGGTGGTTCAGTGTAACAAACCATCTGCACAGTCAAGTTAGATGAAACAACTGACATTATCCTTGACTTTTCTTCTTACACCATCACTAGGTCACATTTTTAATTCAAATATGTCAAATATAACCTCAGAAGAGCCTCTGAAACCTCACCGAGCCTTTACTCGGCTGCAGACTCTTAGTTCTGTTTCTTTATCAAATTTCTATTCCAATCAATTACATCTGAGTTCATTAGGACAAACACTACATTGAGACAATATAAGCACTGTTTATATAAAAGACTATGGACTTTAAAGATGGTGGAACATCTTAATTAAGACTTTAATTAAATTCTTAATAAACTAGTTAAAAACTTCTTGTAGTACATTTATTGTAAAATATTGTATAACATTAAATGTACTAAAAACACTATTTAATGTTAGCATAGTCAATTATACACAATAAAAGTGGCAACCATCTGGCAGACTTTCACAACTCCACCATATTCCAGTAAAGTCAGTCAACCTTTCCACTGTAAACTACTTTAAATATGTGTGGAATAAATGATACTTCAGATGGTGGTTGTAAAGCTGTGAGTCACAATCAGGTTTTGACTGCTCTTCTATTAGTGGTTCTTACTATTGGTGGTGGTCCTACTTGACAAAAACAAAAGCATTTCTGCTGAAGTTAGAACACTTTCATGAGAGATTTCTGTGTTTTCTTGCTTTTCTCTTTATATCCAGCTATTCTAGAGGTTTCTCATACCGGTGACTCATCGAAGTGATTCAGGTTTCATATCTTTTAATGTTTGATTGTTTTTGTGTGGACATTCACAATGTGGCCTCACATCATGACAACGTTTCCTGTTATCTTTAACGTTACTTGTGTACAGCAGCATATGGCAGTATATGAAGCTCATTATAATCCAGTGTCCAATGAGTTTCTATATTCTACAAACCTGCTGCTAACTAAAGCCTGAAAAAAATGAGTCTCTGACACAGGCTCAACCAAAGTGAACATTATCGGCTTTACAAATTCATTGCAGGATTTTTGTATTGGTTTCCATTACTTTGTACAGATGGTAAGGTAGCAGTGTCCAACCCCTGTATCTTTAATTTCATTATGTAACAATTCATGCTTTTTAAGACCACATGGTTCCCTATGAAATACCTTCTTGTACTTCATTACATCATATATTAGCAATTTTGTCCATGGACCAACTGTAGAGAGCAAAGTCACTATTATTTTGTATATCATGTACAGTTTGTTGCCCCATAAACATCTGATGACATTGTGTTTAAATTACAGAAAGTCAAATCAAACAGGAGCAGAAGGTTAACATGAAAAACAATGTTAGTTTAAAACATTTTAAAAGTTCCAAATAACCAATTACCCTATTGTTATATTTACAGCTACCTCAGTTCACCTACCAGGAAGTACTTTAGGGAAGTCACTGACCAATCAGGCCAACAGATTCTGGCTTGCAGGAAAAGGTGACAGATAAAATATACTTTTCTTTTGGAGAAGCTTAAATTGAATTCAGTTACTCAGTAGAAGTGGCTTGGCCCAAATCAGATGTGTTCAAATTGCCCCAGAAAGAAATATACAGTTGAGGCATATGTGAGCTAATGCCAAAAAAATAAGGAAAGTAGATTCATGTCAGTAAAGTGCAAATTACTGTTATAAACAGGAGATTGTTCAGAAGAATTAAATGTCCACAGATGGAAAATGACCTTCACTTCCAAACAAAAGCCCTCGTTTGATAATTCCCCTTTAGGGCCAACTCCAAACTGTTCTGTCACTACGGTAGCTTTTCTGAAAAAGGAGCTTTTTAGTAAGTTACTCTTCCTTTTTGGGCTCTGGGGCCGCAGATGCAGAGCTCGCCTTGGCTGCAGCTCCTTTACTCTCACTGGCCTTCTCTTTCTTGTCCTGACTGTCGATCCTGGCGTGCTCCTGCTTCACCAATTCTTCCAGCTCCGCCTGCAGAGAATCAAAAGCAGAACTAGGGATGTGACATGACACAGAGGACAGAGTGGTGAACATAGTAGTGGGCGACATATCGGCTGAACCGGTACACCATTTCTAATTTCCTGTATGATATGAATTCTTCATATAGCGCCATAGCAGTGCATAGCTGAAACAACTGCTGTAACCCATCAACAGGCAGCAATATTGTTTTTGCCACGAAGAGCGCTACGGTCGGGGCAAGCTGTGTAGCATGTATAGAGAGAGGAGCCTTAATAAGCACGGTCCCTTGTCACTAATGGTTATAACTTTACAACACAACAGTTAATAACCCACAACTAACTCTCTTTAACAGGCCAAAACACCATGGCATACAACAATTTGTGACAATTAAGTATTATTATTATTATTATTATTATTATTATTATTATTATTATAATTATTACTGCTAGAACATTTGAGATATATCTCTTCGAATACTTATACACTCTGAGTATTTTATGTCAGTTCATAGCGTTTATATAACTTTTTTATAATATAAAAGGACACATTGTTAAAGTTGTTGGCATATCTTTTGTTTTTAAGATCTTACTATGTTGTAGTTAGCCATGCAAAAAAAAACCCAGTGATTTACTGTGAAATCGGCAAAATACTGTGAAACAAATTTATGGTCAGATCTCCCGACCGTATGTGGGGCAGTGACAGTAAGAAAACCATTAGAGAAAAACAGCTTGCGTGTTGCGTTTAGAAGTCCCTCCACAGTGGTGCCTTGGTACCACAACATCACACAGGAAAATCATAAAAGGTTAACCTGACATTTCAACAGCTCTCACCTCTCCTGCTGCAGTTCTACACGGACAAGACTTTGAGATTACCACAGGTGCACGCTCTACTAAAGTGTTTACTGTATATTTGGGAATATCAGTGTGCATGCAGATATCTTTAGATGAGTTCCACTGACATCGTTTACACTCACATGTTTGTACGCTAAATATGAAACTAAATATGAGTCAGCAGGGGGTTAGCTTAGCTTAGCATAGAGACTAGAAATGGGGGAGACACGTTAAATTATACACCTTGTAACACCGCTAACGCTCTCTGATTAACACGCTGTATGTTGTTTGGTTCACTCGCACACAAACAGTAGCTTGTGGTTACATGGTGCAGCATTTCTTCTGGTTGCCTGGCAACTTCACAATGAGAACAAGACTCCGGAAGGTCATTGTGTCCAGCTGTGGTTCCCAACTTCCCCAGAAACTATTAATTGTGGTGTTTATGTATCCGTTTTTGTAGAGATATATTTAGATATAACAACCTAGATACAACATGTTCATTAGTGGACCTTTTCTATCTTACTATTCCTTTAATCCTACATAGAGACAACAATACCGTGTGTCAAAGACCTTCAGATCGTACCCGGGGTCACTTTGCTGCGTGTCATCCCCCCTACCTCTACCCCCGTCTATCTTCTGCTGTCTTATCTAACAAAGGGGGAAATCCCCACATATATATATATAAAAACAATACTGAGTGGCTGACATATGTGCAAACAGGAAAACAGTGATAGTACATCATGTTTCAATTACAGCAGTGTTTACATTGACTACCTTGTCACTGAAGTCATTACTGTACTAGGCTATTTATCCTCATAATCATGTGCGATAGTTCTGTGGTAAATGGACTGTGCTAAACAAGATTAATCTCTGACTGTGTAACTTACCTTCCATCCCAACAGGTCAGCCAGAGCCAGACAGCCATCATCACATGTACTGATGTGAGCTACATCTCTGAAGAGAGAAAAAAAAGCCACTATGTTAGAACCAGGTCCTGGCTCCATATGACTTCCTTATTCCCAGTACTGATGTACATATTATAACACTGACTGTCCACCAATACATATCCTCTTTTATGTTTCACCTCTTTCACAAATATAAAGCCCTTCATAATCTAATAATATTTTTCTTCCCTGTTGCCTAAATTGATTCTCTGTGTGTGAACCATGAAACTATCGTGCAAATTTTCTGTCCAGCACAATAGCTGTTACTTTAATGACATTACACTCACTCTTGAACATCAAAGATGGGACTTGGGAAAACTCACTGCTACTAGGTTTGCTGCGGCTGCTGCAGGTCAGAGATGACTGGGTAGTTTGCCACTGCTACCATGAAT